GAGTATCTGGACCAGATCAGGCCTGGTGGAGGGACAGGAGAGTGAAGGTTATGCACACCACTGATGGAAACAGTCTGTGCTTTGGCAAAACAGTGACAGATAACAGTTGTTTAAAGAGACATATTGCAAAAGCAGAAGCATCAGACAACCTTTAGCACAGATTGATCACATTCTCTGAACACTGAACTGATCATTTTGATAAATGCACTGACAGAATTCACAGCTCGAATTCGAAAAACATTACCAGGACCGTGACGTCTGTAAGGTATATATTTTACTTGGAATATAAAAACAGGACAGATTAAATTCATTTGAATCTTGAAATGCTGATTTCATGCTGCTACCTTTTCTGCTAGTTACTTTTCCCTGGATCACACTATCTCTTTTTTTAAACAATGGATGTTGCAAACTGAGACATTGCGCATGAAGAGGCGTAATGGTTATGTCTCCATTTGTAGTTCATAATAAAATCGATGTATTGTTACCTGTGGCTGTCAGCACTCCAGACTGGGAGAGACTGAGTTTGTCTGCTGGCCGACTCATATCAGCCAGACCAGCTCCAACCAGACCCTGCAGAGGAAAGAGAACATGTTCACTGTATGTTAACATATCATTTGTATTTGACAAGACTATATATTACACAATGATGGCGTGTTTGGTGCTTGACCCCAATTGAGTTGGGATATAAATAGCAGCACAGGAGAGTAGAAACACACATTTCTGCGGCACAAATGTATGATGATTTTCTTCTGAACGGTTTACTTTATAAGATCATCTTCAGGCCCCTGAAAGTATTCAAGTACCAACACATAACGCATGGTTTGAACTGATGCACAAATATAACCTGTGATTAATGCACTTACCCATTTAAACACTGGAGCCCAGAAAAACACTGTCTTTGGACCTGAAATACAAACAAAGCAAGATGGAAACGTGACATTTGGGCAACAGTGGGTGTTGAATTATTTGGTGTAATTTCAGTTAAACCTTCTCCTGGAGTTTGGGGTCAAGCCAGAGTGTCAGATACATGATGGCATTGTTTTTGGAACAACCTGAACTAGGTCTCTATATTTTGCTTTACAACAATAAGCAATTCCAAACAAACCTGATATTCAACACATCAATAAACCTAATGCAATATTGGCTTTAGGACAGCAAGATATTGCAATAAAACAACATATCATATCATCAGGTGGATACCATACCAGGAAATATGAATAAACAATATGATATATGGAAGGTCATGTATGTAATAAGCGTTGATGTAAAAATAATATAGTAAGAGACACTTCCTCCCTAGTGTAGTTAATCCTCCTACCAGGTTTCCAAACTTGTGATATCACTACTTATAATATTAGCTTTTTTTAAACTAACCATCCACCAGGCGGTCAGGATGCTGAACTCTTGACTTTGACTGTGTGGGACTCGCATAAACTTAATTAACTTATGAAAGGTCAAATTCACAGGACAATAAAGAGCTGCAGGTCTGGACTCTGCCATGATCTGCCCTCATATTCATGCTGCAGGCTAAACACAAAGTTGGACGTCTTGTAAATCATCACAGATGCCCTTGACAACGAGTTCTGCAGCAGCCTCACAGACACAACAGAGAGCAGTCTGTCCCTGTGACGCACAGACTGATTTATTAATCGCTCTAGTTAAGGTCAGGTTTTAACAGATCTGAATGTGTGTGCAAGTGCAACACGCTCAATGTGTTATATATTCCTATCTAAACATAATGAAATGCAACGAATCCCACTTCCATGAAGGTTATAGTGTTTAGTTCAGGCTGATATAGAGCAGAGTGACTGTTTGTGGTGCAGAGTGACTGTTTGTGGTGCGGTTTAAGTGTTTTGCATTATACTGAGAGGTGTTCTTACTATAATAAGTTTGACCTAGTTGACAAGCTTCAAGGATTATTACAGGGTTTCTGTATTATAACTTTGTTAACTGTTCCTTCAATGTGCAACGTTATATAATGAAACTAACACACATTAATTATGCAGTATCATGATTAGATGTAGAACAATAAGTGTATTAAGCCAGGGATTTAATCAAATCAAGCAATAATCATTTCATTCAGCTTTTTAAATGTGAATATTAGCTGCTTTTATCTCTGGTTGTTCATGTGTTATAGTCATAGACTGTATATATAAAGGTTATAGTGCTCTGGACCGAAGAAAGCAAACAGAAAGCCTGTACACAGATTGATACTATATCATTTTATAATATGCTATAAACTGTGTGACTTTACACACCACTGTGTTTCCTTGTATTTTTTATTCAATCGCTTTTACATCGTTTAGTCTATTTGAGTTTTGTGTACCTCTTAAAATGTATTGATTTGCTTTATCTATTAATGCATACTCTGCTGCTGCGAAACCACGTGTTCCCTCTAGGGCTCAATAAAGGCTCTAATCTTATCTTAATAATTGGAAGCTGCAGCCCAGTTATAGTTAATGATATATTTAGTATGAACATAAGATATGATTCAACTGTTTAATAATTACTTCATCATCCTGAGACGAGACTATAAACGGTGATTATCAATTGGGTCATCTACTTTAGTCTAAGTTATTCTGATGACAATAACATGCAAGTGGCTAACATTTAAGTCGATTTTTGTATATTTTTTTAACATTTAAAATTGTTTATTTCTTCCTGTTTTTGGTGGCTCACTACAATCAACCATACCGTTTAAATCTATAAAGATAACTCAAAAACAACGTTCAAATTAAATAAGAAAAACTAAAATATGGGGTTAAATTAAGAAATGTAGCCTCTTGAACACGGAATTGACCTAGTTATATTTTAAATGTACAAAAGTAGAAACACTGTTATCATAAAAAATAAGGGATATTTGTACACTGCATCTGTTGTTTGGCACAATATATAATCCTAAAAGACCTTCCAACATGTATTAGCACCCTTACATAAGAACCATTATACTTTGTTGTGGTACCTCAGAAATACACAACTTAATACCACAATAAACTTCATACTTTTCCTGTCATAAACCCAGCTGTTGTTCACAGACTGAGCTGCTCTCCCATCAAAACAATGACCTCAATACAGTCTAACATCAAGTACAAGTAGAGATGATGTATTAGCTCCACGTCAGAAATGATCATTGATGAAGGATTACGGAGATGCACACCGCCACACATACAATCACATATCCCCACAAACACAGACCCAGTCCTCTAACCAAACAGCCGGATAATAAACTCTACATTACCTGCTGGGTGGTTGTACAGGGGTCTCAGTTTTGCGGGCAGTGTGTGCTCGATCTTGTCCAAAATCCGGTGATAGGAGGCTCTCAGTGCAGCCATGACTGTATTGGGAAACTGACAGAAGCTAGCTCGCTAAAGAGGTGAGGAAGCTAAGGATCTTTCTTTAAAAAGCCACAGACTTTTAAAAATAAAAGTGTTCCTTTGTTTACTTGGAGGATGGTGTCCAGTAAATTGATAGCAGGAAGCTTGAAGGATATGAATGGATGATGCTGTCCTACTGTCGACCTTCCCTCGGAAACACTGTGAGCATGTTAGCGCCGCTAGCTTCTGTCTGACCGACGAGGTGACTTTCTGCACAGTGCAACCTACCAACCTCGTGAGGGGCGGGGCTACATGTTTCCTCTGTCCTCATTGGTCGGGCCGGTCAGAACCCCGGTATGATTGGTTTAGAAAGGATTGCTACTTTTCCTGCACGGCGTAGCTCGACTGGGTGGATATGAATCAACCTTTATATATACAGTCTATGGAATCAACGCGTTAACAAGTAATTAAGTAGACAAATAAAATAGTGTAGTCGGTTCAGGTTTGCAAAAGCCCTCAACAACACATAACATTAATTCTCAAAGTTAAAGTCACAGACCCCACTGCCATGAATAGTTTTTTATTAATACTATTTTTTACAAATTCTTTTTTACTTTAACATTTATAGAATATCATATTATTTGTTATCTAACAAAACACTTACCCTAGAATTTTAAATATGTTTATTACATGTTTTCCTTATATATTTATCTTGTTCTTTAAAATATCAACATACAATTTGCAGATGATGCAGGGTTTTCCTTGCAAAGGTTTGTGTTGTTATATTATGATATACAGATAAGTTATTGTATTGCTTAACTTTAAAGTATGATTTCATCGAGGCTGTAAAACCTGTAATAAAGTACGATTTCAGCAGGTTCTGTTATAACCTGATCTTGTGGCCCTCTTACAACATTTAACAGGTTAATCCAGTCCTTTCTTCAAAGTCTACAAACCAGCTGTATACCAAACAACCTGTTTAGTTGTATTTAAACTTTAAATAAAAAGGCACTTACAACTGTTCACTTTGCTGGATAACCACCAAGTAGCCAACTGTTATACCCAGCATGACTGTGCCCCACTGGTTTATTTAATTTACTTATTTTTAAATACAAAATGTGAGACACCAGAGATAATAATTATATTTTATTTTAAATACTATGTTAAGTTAATACCTTTTTTTAATCTAATAGTGTGTTATATTTATTTTTCATCTCCTGCTGTTACAATGTAAATGTCCCCTCTGTGGGACGAAATTAAGGAATTCTGTCATAATCATAATACAATTTATAAAAACTAGTAGTGTAAAAAATATAAATACAGGTAGTGTAAACAAAAGTGAAGATAAAGAACTAAAACATAGTTTTTGCATTTTGATATGCATAACATTTTCTTCCTCTTACTATGCTAATGTGTGCACTATACACCTTTGTGTCAATACACCTGATTAGGTCTTCTGTACCTAATTAAGGATGACATTTTGACCCCAGGACTTTTTACTTCTTGGTATTTTTAGACTGTCCTATCCTATTAATGCTTTTCAATAATAAGGCTAATGATTTGTGTTATTTTTTCTTCAACATTGCTTCATGCTTTAACACTTTCTGAGCTTTTCCTGATTACACTCCGCCCTCGTCAGCTCTCCTGCTCTCTAAAACGAGCGCTCCCAATCTCTCGGTCAAACCCCGCAGTTGATCGCGATGTTTGGACACAGCTGACCGCTGCCTGCTAGAAGAAATCAAACCACCAGGCTAGGCTAGCAGGACAGACAGTTAGCGGCGCAGAGAGCAGCGGGCAGCGAATGTAAACTCAGGGGGAACCGAGGAGACAACACAAGGACCGGGGCTAAACCTCCAGAGATGCGGACGTTGAGTGTCGTCTCACCGCAAGCTAACGTTAGCTTTGTCCCGACACACAGGGACTGATCTCTGTGGCAAAGACGACAGATAAAACGGCGACATCAACAGGAACGGGTTAGCTTAGCTTCAATGTTATTGTTAATTAAACCCCACATATTATGGTCACGATGTCCTACTCTGGAAACCTGGTTTGGGATGTAAATAAACGTTTAATTGGATACAACGAGCCCAACATCATCAGGAGCAACTATTTAGGTAAGGAACAAAAACACTTTGATGCTAACGTAGAAGAGACGACAAGAAAAACATGTGTTTATTTTTAACATTGTGTGAGGCAGGTATAGCTCCGCTAAATCACACGCACTGACAGCTAGACCCAACATGACTATGGTTATATTTAATAACATACAAGCTGCTAAGTTACTGCTTCTGCAAAGTGTAAACACAGCAGGACATTTAATTGATCCATGTTGAAGCGGAGATGTGGGAGTCTACAGCTAAAGCACTGGAAAGACGGGGGTACATATTTTCTACAATCCTCAATGGTCCTTAGGTAATATGTATATAAACATCCCATTTCTCTTTTCTATATTCTATTGTTCTGCACTGTAGCGTTGACGCATTTTCCATAGCTGGTGTACAGCAAAGTCGATCTGCAACGACAATTGGTTTAATCGATTGACAGATAAATAATGGCGAAGTATTTTTAAACAAATAATACATGTTTTAATGATATAACATTATGTTCAAATCCCTTTAAATAATGTCATGCATTCCTTTGTTGTTTGTTTAGCATTACAAACTGAATATACATGGGTATTCACACCTGGGTGTTTACATTTTCACATTTGTTTCTGACATTGTATGGATGATTAGTCGAGAAAATAATCGGTCGATTAATCGAAAATGAAAATACTCAGTAGTTGCAGCCCTACATGTATTTTGAATGCGATTTAATGTCAATTGTTGTAGTGAAAGGACTAGAAATATAGGATTACATTTTATATTTAATCCTTTGTCATCTCTCTTTTTATGAGCTACAGCAAAACCTATTAAAAACAATATCCCCTTATTCAGATAGTCCATTGTTTTGCACAATAGCACGGATGCATGTCCATGGATGATGAACATCAGAGTAGTTCTGACTTATCAATGGTTGACAGAAACATTATCAGCCACTATTTTGATTCTTTAATTCTTGTAAATCATTATAGTAATTTTTATTTATGTATGTATTCCTTTTTCTTATTATATTAAACTACATTTCTCTGGGTTGTGGACTGACTAACATTTGAAGGCATCACTTTGGACTTTGACTTGCTTGCTTTAAAATGTTTTTTTTCTGACATTTTGAGTTGGATATGATCTAATCGGCACGCAACATATATGTACCCTTAAAGCGGATACGCGATAGTCTAAAGCAGTAGAGACATAGGATTACACATGATATATGCTCTAATCCTTAATAGTGCAGCTTTTCATAAAGTATTGGCTACATCAAAATGATATTATCTCCTCATTCAGACACTCCATTGTTTTGCACATGAAATGCAGTTGTATTCTTTTTAATTTATGAGAAATTGCTCTCAGGCTTTTGTAAATATTCATTACATTACATGTCACTTGTTAGACGCTTTTATCCAAAGCGACTTACATACATTCAGTACAGTGGACAATCCCCCCAGGAGTAATTTGGGGTGAAGTGTCTTGCCCAGGGACACAACGACATGCTGACTGCAGTGGGACTCGAACTTGCTACCCCCTGATTCGAAGTTCAGTGCCCTATCCTAACCACTGAGCCACAGCCTCCCATATTCACTTCTCAAATCTGAAGCATTATCTTATTTTTTGTGTGAACATTGATATTGAGTAATTGATGATAAAAAAATGTTGGCGATTATTTTCATTGCTGTTATAATTGAATGACAATGAAAGCAGACACAAGAATATTCGAAGCAAGTAAAGTAATATGGAGTAAAGATAATGTAACATTATACAGAATATCAGGCCAGTATATCAAAACACCACTGACTGTTTACTTGTTTATTAAAATAGAATATTTCCACATTGCATAGACGAAGGCGGTTGCGTCTCTTGACAAGTGTAATAGATCAACTATAAATAGTACTGGCTCGACTCCATACCTATTTATTAAAAAAAATATTGATATATCTTGTTACAACACTGCAGTGTTTATAAGTGTCTCAAGTGGGCCTGTCACAGTAATTACATTATCGACTTATCGTACAATATATGGACACAACCTCGATCGTCATTCTGCCCTCCTTTCTGCCTGCTATGTTTACATGCGTTGCATTGATTATATAAATCCCCAACACTTTAGTTACCAAGTTTCCTCTCCCATTATAGTGCTGTTGCACAGACCTGCTACATGTCTGTAAACAGAGCCCTACACTCCATGTTATTTATTTTGTTCAGTTGTGTAGTTTTATTAATATGTTCTTTTCTTCATATTTAGGAATGACTTTTTTCCAATTACAATGTATGAATATTTTTAAGAATTATAAATTATTTGCTTTTTAAAAAAGTGTACTTGCATTATTATGTTACTATTAAATCAGTGGAATAAAATGGTCTTAAAGGGACCCTCTTATACTTTGTGGGGTTTTCCCTTTTCCTGTAGTGTCTTCTATAGGTGCATGTAAATGGGTTCTGTAACAAAGTGACATCACTATAAGCTCACGCACCAATCACAACAGAGCCAGCCAGCTAACCAATCAGAGCAGACTGGGCTCTGGTTTCAGACAGAGGGTGAAAAGAGGTGCTGCAGTACAGGCAGTATGAGAGAAATAAAGAGCTTTATGAACATTAAAGTATGGATACATGTCACAGTAGAGGAACAAAACATAAATATGAACCCAAATATTCATTCATGTTTTGAACTTAACAAAGGAAAAACTATTAAACTCAATAGTCTTGAGTTTACTTGCAGTGATAGGCCTCATTAGTGAGATTTTTCGGATGTCTGTCTGTCTGTGTGTTGGTTGTGAGAGAACAACCTGAGAATACAACATGACCACGGTGTACACGGAGGACAGATCCACTGGCACATCGAGACGGAGAGGTTTATTGTTTGCAATGTGGCATGTCAAAGAGTCGGCACCTGACAGGGGTTGACCGGAGATTTATAAGCCTGTAGAGGTGGGGCAGGTGCCACTGAGGTTTAGTCAGGGCTGCATTTAGCTTGAAGGAGATATTGTTCGAGCTGTTATTGTGTTATGGGTAGAGGAAACATGCTGTGATGTATGGTGTGGAGCTCTTGTAGGGTATATTTAGCTTCCTATAGGGGGGATGGGGGCAACGAACAGAGGTGTACGTTGAATTCCAGGGACACTTCCGGGAGGTTATAGGAAATCGTCCAGAGCTTTCTCTGATCTTAAAGGAATATTAAGAAGTTTAGAAGTGGGGATGTATGAAGTACTTATCCTTAGTGTATTACTGACAGTGTATTGGGGTCTGTTCACCCCCAGTTTGGAAAACACAAAGACTTTGGGCATGGAGGCTAAGCAATGTACTGCGATGGATCTAAGACGGCAGCATCATCTATTTAACCACCAAGAAAAACACCCTCCTGAAAAACTCAACATCAGTTTAAGTGTATTCCAATATGTTCTCTGCTTTACCGTCAGCTATCCTGGGAGCTTATCTGTCCATGCTCTTGTCAAAGCCACCAGACTTCATTGAGAAAAACATAAATGATGACCTTGCAGAACACACAAGTTGTTGGTTTCACCGCTGCCATGATATTTGAGTTTATGCGTGATTTTGTATCATGTTGTTGTCTTTTAACGGTCAGTTTCACTTTACAAAAGTAACACAATAACTCGGACTAACTAACCGATTGAAGCAGCGGTAAACCAGCAACTTCAATGTTCTGCAGATCAAAATGACTGTCTTTGTCAGTGGAGTCTGGTGGCTTTAAAGAGAGCAAAGATACTAGCTTCAGCTCCCCCGGAAAGGTCTCTTTGAAATATGTTTCGCTGCGGCCCCCGTCCACAGAACTACACCGCACAGCTTTTGTTCTTATTCTCATGTCTGATGCTTTAAACTGTGGGCGTGCCAGCCACCATTTACTCTCTATTCCCATGTCTAACAGGCCAAACACCAACTATGTATCGTCACTTTGAGGTACAATTAGTGCTGAAAAAACATGTCATCGTGTCCATTAGCTCTTGTTCAAATGAATGCTGTCGTGTCTCCTTTACAGAAATGACTCCACACAAATGCAGGCTTGTCTAATTCCTTCAGCCATAATGAAACCTGTCGGTGCAAGTCAAAGCTCCCGACTGGATATTCAGCTGCTGTCGTGTATGTTTAAAAATGGGAAAAAAACGTTCCCCACTTTGTATGATGGTAGCTATTATATGTGCACGACATCTCAGGCCTTGCTGTTTCCCTTATATAACATTTACAATTAATACTTGAAATAATGAATGCACGCAAACTCATATTTTTGTACCTCTTTATTTGAGGTACAATTAAACTGTTCTATTTTCAAAATGCACCAAACACTGACAGAGAGGCACATCCTTTGATGATGAATCAATGAGACACAACTAAAACAGCAGCAGATGTCCGTCACAACAGCAACTTGAAAATGCTACTTACAAATGAATTGAACAAAGAGGCAGGTGTGTTCTTTTTTTTAAATCAATTCATCTTTTTTTCATCCACAAGTAGTTTTCATTTTTAGCAGCTATGAGCAACTCCTCCATGGTCCCATTGTGCATTGCATTGTGGGAGAATAGTGTCAACAGCCCACTCAAATATGAAGTTTTATTTATTTTGCACACTGCCTGTTTTCAGTACACTAAATTATGTCTCTTTTAGAACAACAAACAATGACACAAAACCTGTGGAGTTATTGCATAACGTAGATTTTGTACACGACTCATGAAACTTGAATACGCAAAGGATGAAAATGAAAGGAAAGACGTCAAAGAAATATGACTCGACACACGGTACATCGTCTCATCATGAAGCTGCTTTTTAGAAACTCAAAGCGTACATTGTTTTCCGGCTGCTAACTCCAAGCAGATCTGACTTTCTTTAATGTGTATTTTATATTCTCCTAATTCTCCTAAGAGCCTAAACTCATGTAAGAGTCATTTCTTTGTTTTTGATAACATTTTAGAGTTTGCTTCAACTTTAGAGCAGCTTGCTTTGTGCAGAACATATGAACTCTTCTCCCTTTCTGTTCAACAAGTGCAGGAAGGCTGCATGAGGAACATATCACATGATGCTACTGAAACCCCAAATGTTTAATGTGATATTTTATACCAGTCCTCAGAGTTGGTATTGCGTCTAACTAAAGTGAAGTAAAGTTCAAAGATGCATGGGTATGTTCCAGGGGCGCAGGACGTGAGATCTTTGAAATGGGGGGGGGGGACGAAACCGAGAGAAATTATTTTCAAGATATTTACTTACTATTTGTTTTACTATGTGTTTTACAATCTTAACCGTAAGCTCAAATATGAACTGTTTCAAGATCAAATAAAATACAATGTAAGTATGTACTAGGGATGGGAAAGATTAATCAAATATTCGAAATTATTCAGGTATTCGAATACGAGTTATGAATATTTTTATTGTAATTGTTTTTTTATTTTTTTGGGAGTGGTGCCTAAGTTGATTACATATTATCAAATGGAATAATGCAATGTATACGACAGTGCCATAGCTAAATGTGTTAGGTCTAAAGGTGTGTTTTGCTCCGCTCACCGCTCCCTCACAGCAGGCAGAGCTGCAGGTGCTGATCTCTCTCTCTCACGTCCGGTTATACTTCACTCGGGTTTATGTCCAAATCCATCAGATCTAGCTAGTTCTAGCTAATGATATGGCTGCTGCCCCTCCCTACACGCAGATCACACAGACTCAAACCTCATCTTATGCCCAAATTCCAGCTGAGAGGGTCTTCTCTACAGCTGGCCTGATTGTGAATCGCCTCCGCACCCGCCTCTCCCCTGAGTATTTAGACATGCTCATATTCTCTTAAACAAGAATGAGTATTGAATAGCTGCATTCTGTGCATAGGCCCTGTTATAGGTTGATCTCTGTTGTAATAGGGTTACGTTACCCTAACCCGTTATGTTGTTCGTGTATGATCCCTCTTTCATTTAAAAAAACAAGTTATGTTTTAAGCCTGAAAGCTGTAGGCCTATAGCTGTCAACTGTTCAAACTGTGATCACCAGTTCAATACATTTGACAAATTCGACTTGGTTTCTATACTTATTTGAACATGTATTTATTTATTTTTCAAAATAAAAAATGTTCCCACTTTTTGTCTTTCTTTTAGGATATGTACATTTCGGTTAATCAGTTAACCGTTTTTTTGGGGGTCGAATATTCGAATATACATTTGCTTTCAAATTCCCATCCCTAGTATGTACATGGATTAACAAATGAATTGGTATTTACCTTTAAGTGCAAGAAGGATCATTTATTAAGGCGTTTGAGGAAATAACAATTTTAGAGGAATAACACTTAACAATAAGTAAAAGTAATCTATATATTACACATATATATGCATATTACAACGATCATGTGAACAAATATAGATATTGAAAAAAATGATAACAAAAAAATCAAAATATATATTTTTTTAATATAAATATATATTATTATTATTTAAATGGGGGGGGACGGATCAGTGTCCCTATGAAATTGGGGGTGACGTCCCCCCCCCCCCACTATCTGCGCCCCTGGTATGTTCACATGATCTGCAAGAGCTGGTATGCATAATCAATTCATTGCTAACGTACTTATTAATGCAAAAAAACACTTTAATTTTTGGATGAATCTAGCATAGGACTGTCTTTGAATATGAGAAGAAATAAAGAAACATGTCATTTTACAATTGTTTTTTTTTCTGTCCACAGGTAGAAAAGAATTTGTCCAGAGACTTAAGCTTGAAGGGACGCTGAATGTTCACGATGGCTGTGTAAGTACCCCACATTTTCATATGTTGTTTTTCATTTTCATTGCTTTCATCCTTAATGACTTGTTTCCATTCAACTCAGGAGCACATCTGTGGACAACACAGGATTTAAAGCTTTTGTCTTTGGGCTGCACAATTCATTACAATTTGGTCAAAATCGTAAAACAGAGAAGTGAGATATCTAAATCGCAGGAAGCGCAATATTTGGTAAAAAGCAAAATACGTGAAAACATCTGAATGGACTATGTTGTAGAGAAGTAGGATAAAGAAAAATTACAATTCTCTCTAATATAGCAAATCATATGGCAATTGCTAAATTAGTCAAATCTAGATATTTCTCCAGAATCCTGCAGCCCTATTTTCAACGATTCTTTGTGGGGAAACTAAGTTTAACACATCAGTTTTTAAAATTGTAGGATTGTTGACTTGGAGCAGGGGTGTCAAACTCATGGCCCCGGGGCCTTATCCGGCCCGCCACTTCATTTTATGTGGCCCGCAAGAACTTGCAAAGAATATAATACGTATTATACGGTTACATGCTACTTTACAGAAGCACGTTGCCCAACTACATGTCCCACAGTGCATCTCATTTTGTGACATGCACACCGAAGAGACTTGCAATTAGTTGCCCTAGACCAGTGGTTCTCAACTGGTGGGTCGCGACCCAAAAGTGGGTCGCGGACCCGTTTCAAGTGGGTCGCGGATGTGTGAGGGAAGAAAAAAAAAAATTATGAAAAAAAGTCAAACTTTTTTTGAAGGCCGGGATTTCTAATGCTGCGCGCGCAGTCACTGTTTGCTGCGTCCTCAGTATGAAGCGTCTTGGGCGTTGTCATGACAACGCCCAATGTCATGATAACGTGCTGCCTTACGTTATCAGTATTTACCGCTCATTCATTCAAATTGTAAACATGGCGAAACGCAGGTATGATTCTGAATATATTAAGTATGGATTTTCATACATTGAAGATAAAAGAGAGGGACCAAAACCTCAGTGTGTTGTTTGCAGTGAAATATTGGCACGAGAGAGCATGAAGCCGTCAAAAATGAAGCGGCATTTGGAAACTAAACACTCCGCTTATAAAGATAAACCTGTTGAGTTCTTTCAAAGACGACTCACAGAGCTGAGGACATCGCAACAGTGCCTGACCTCATCATGTTCGAAACAAGAGCAGGCCTTCCGTGCATCTTACCTCGTAGCTCAGCGTATTGCAAAGAGCAAAAAGGCCCACACCATTGCAGAGGACCTTATTTTACCTGCCGCTATCGACATGGTCAGAGAACTGCTGGATCAATCTGCGGCGGATAAACTGAAGACCATACCACTGTCAAACGATACAATCAGTAGGCGGATTGAAGAAATGTCCGATGACATTCAACAACAGACCACAGCTCGCATCAAGGCAAGTGCTCACTATGCATTACAGAGGGACGAGTCCACAGACATCGCGAGCCATGCTATTTTACTCGTTTATGTGAGGCATGTGTGGGAAGGGGACTTACAGGAGCAATTTCTCTGCACTAGAGATCTGCAAACTACTACAACTGCGGAGGACATTTTTAGTTCTGTGGACTTGTACTTGGGTTCGGTGGGCCTAAACTGGGATCTGTGTGTCGGAATCACAACTGATGGCGCTGCCTCCATGACTGGAAAACATTCAGGGGTGGTGAAGAGAATACTAGAAAAAGCCCCTAATGCGACTTGGCAACACTGTTTTTTGCATCGAGAGGCTTTAGCAGCAAAGGACATGGTGCCAGTGCTTCATGAAACATTGAAGGATGTCGTCAAAGCGGTGAACTATATTAAACGCAGCGCAAAGAGCACCCGGTGCTTTCAAAAGCTGTGCCAAGACCTGGGCAGTGAGCACATACAGGTGCTGTATCATGCAGAAGTTCGCTGGCTTTCGAGGGGAAAGGTACTCTCACGCTTCTACGAGCTTAGAACAGAAATTGCAGCCTTCTTTGCCCAGAACAGATCGCCTCTTGCTGACATGTTTAGTGACGATGTGTGGCTCGCACGAGTAGCTTACCTTGCTGATGTGTTTGAACATTTAAACACATTAAATGTTTCAATGCAAGGGAGGGGACACAATGTGTTCGAACAATCGGAGAAAATCGAGGCGTTCAAAAAAAAGATCGCCTTGTGGGCAAATCATGTTTCCAGGGAGAGGCTGGACATGTTTCCAAATGCGTGTCATGAGGCAAAAGAACTGGACACTGCAGGCAAAAATGCCCTGAATGAAACTATCAGGGCGCATCTAAGCAAACTGCAGGATCGGTTCAACGATTACTTCCCTGAGAAACACGGGGATGATGACTGGGTACGGGATCCTTTCGGAGTCGAGATGGAAAGCGTCACGTTGCCGAGCAACGAAGAAAGTCAGCTGGTGGAGCTGTCATGTGATCGGTCGCTGAAAAAAAAATTCACTGAGGTAACCCTCCCCCAGTTCTGGTGCAGTGCTGTGATTACTACTGAGTATGCATCCCTCGCCACACATGCAATCAAAATCATCCTGCCATTCAGCACTACCTATCTCTGTGAAAGTGGCTTCTCAGCTCTGGTCCAGCTGAAGACAAAGCAGAGGAACAAATTGAACATTGAGCATGACCTCAGAGTTGCTTTGTCTACCATCACCCCAGACTTTGAGACCCTTGTCAGGAACAAAAAGCATCCCCAGCTATCCCACTAGTTCCCCCCAAACTAAGATGTGTTACAGTAAGTTCAGTAAATGCTGACACTGAATATTTGTCACAATACAATGTTGTTCAGAATGTGCAGATAAGCTCTTCTACAGTTCAATTTTGGTTCTTGAAACTTTAATAACATTATCCTTTTACACTTGTTTAAAAAGCATGCCTGTATATGTACTTTTTACTATTATTCGTTATAATCACTCTGTCTGTGCAGTTATTTACTTATTATTTATCATCATAACTATTTGTTTATGGGATATTTGCACTCTTTATTTTGTTGTTTATTTCTTGACTCTATAAGTATTGTTACTGTTTTAATTGTATTTATTTTTTATTCTAAATCTGGTTTGAATGTATATTTTTTGTTTGTTGGGGGGGATAATAATACAACATACACACAGTTCTGTATTCTTCTCATGCCTTCTCAAAAGCATGACTGTTATTGAAGATAAGTCTGCCTTTTTATGTAATACAACACAAGTGTGCCTTTTTATTTATTACATACATTACAATTTTGACAATTACAAAACTTGATGACCATCACCAATTTAAACTTGTTTAAAAAGCATACTGTAGTTCTGTGAAGGGATATAATCTGCCTTGCATGGCACTAACAATGTTGAAGATGTGGTTGTGTTCCCATGGACTACATTTATTGAAAATGTATTCACTGTTCTTCACTTTTATATTAATATTAATATTTTATATTACTGCACTACTTTTTGTGAATTAAATGTGTGTGGTTCAAAATGGTGGGTCGCGACTCATTGACGAAGGAAAAAGTGGGTCCCGAGGCCAAACCAGTTGAGAACCACTGCCCTAGACTTCTGCTCTCAGACGTAGTTAATTATGAAGTTATTACCCTATCCAATAATAACCCAATGCAGAGGCAATAATATAATATAATACATTATTTTATATATATTATGTATTTATATATGTATATTTATTTAGTTACAACCGGCCCTTTGAGTGCAACCATAATGCTGATGTGGCCCGTGATGAAATTGAGTTTGACACCCCTGACTTAGAGTTTCTTTGGTAAGGAGAGCCCTACACATTACAACTCTTTTCCACGTTAAGTTTGTGAAGTGTCTGATAGAGAGCAGAGCGGCTGAGAAACCTGACACCTCAGAAATCACACATGGTGTCGCAGTATCAGCCTCAACGTCTCTGTCCGAAACACCACAACCACAGGAGAGCTCCTTTAATACCGGCTCTCTGTTAACAACAACCACCACCACAGTGAAAAGGATATGAGGAACAGTTTCATTGCATGTTCTAAATAAATGAGTGTATTCTACTTGTGTAGTAGCAAGCTGAAATATACTATATTGACAATATGGACTGATGGAGGCAGGATAAGTCATGCATTTTATACTGAAGCTATTAGTAGCTTAATCAATTGGATGATGTGCAATTACTCAACTTTACAATAGTCAAGATTCGAGGCTTTTATTGTCATTTGGACATAGCTACAATGTAGTTATGATAATGGGAATCGTACAACAGTGCAACACAATAAAACATATATAATAGAATTACACTGTATATTTCTAGCAATAAAAGGCATTCAAATCTTTATTTCAAATAAACCACCTTTGTATATCTTGTTATATACACATCTTTGCATATTTTTATTTATTCTAACTCTTACGAAACCCAATATCTCCCTGGTAAAATAAAGTATTCTTATTCTGATAAAGGAGTTATTTATTGAATACAATAAAATGTATTCAGAAAAATAATGTTTGTTTAAAGCCCCTGAACAATGGGACAATTTAAAGTTCCCTTTCTCTGTTGTAATTATTTATAAATGTTGTCCTATGGGCTCTGGTGTTATGGTGAGAACATTTGTCTCATTTACCCCCCCTGGACTGTGAGAAAGTGGGATGGGCATATGTTTTATGACACTTCATAGACTAAATTGTCCAAAAATCAGTTGTAGTATTATCATTGGCATTATTCTCTTTAAAGGTCACCTATTATGCAAAATCCACTTCTTCATGTCTCTTATACATCAACATGTGTCCCCTCTGTGTAAAGAGACTCTGAAAGTTTCAGGAACAAAGACCCCCTCTCTTTTTGTCCTGATCCATTTATATAAAAACCTGTCTGAAAATGAGCTGATCAGATTTTGGCCACTTTATGATGTCATAACGATGTTTTGGCTTGCGTAACCATTAGCCAATCACCAACCAAGGTAACTCAAAGAAAAAAAAAACATGCCCTTTTGTCGCAAGAAAAAAAGTGCAGAAGGAAACATCCATTAAAACTCAGTTTGCTGCTCTGTGATGCTCGTTCAAGCCAGATACTTGGCATCTCATCTTGGGTGCAAGTTCATCAATGTGTGGGGTCAGGCTCTGAGCTGAGGAAATCCTCAGGATTGAGTGAAGGTGTGCGTGCAATATACCGGCGGGCCAGATCTAATAATAATTAGAAATTATCCTGCAAACTTTCAATTTCTTATACAAAGAACACCAGGCAGATAGATAACAGGAACCTCTCATACAAATAAATGCCCACACATGTCTTTCGGCTGTCGTGACACTAGCCATGTTCAGCTGTCATACATTTTCTGTTGTGCTCATGATAAACTGCTCTCTGATAAGCTGCCTCCGCTCAGTAAGTGGACGCTCTGAGTGTTTACCGGATATACCAGGCTTTCTTTGGACGCCTCCAACATGTCAGCTGTGGGCTGAAGGGCAAGAGAGCTGCACCAAACATTACAAAATCAGTGAAAACAAGGAAGTATTAGTTGCAAAATAAAACCTGCCTGCATTGATCAAAGAATGAAAGATGTGCCGTTAATTTACAGCTGACACAGGTGAAGAATATACATTTTAGGGTAGTTAGAATATAACATAGATGTTAGTTTGTATGTGTCTGAAGATGGTAAGGACTTCTGTTTTTTTATACATTGTACCTTACGTTTGTGGAAGACATCAGTCAGTCTCTGTGAGGGGGATTTGTGGTTCTTTTGAATGAAACTTAACATTTTCACATCATTTAGGAGCATTATTAATATCATATCTGTGTACAAACATTTATATTTAGATACTTTTGACCTATTCCTCGATATTGTGTAGATTGCAATTTTGGTGCTTTGACAAGATATGAGACACAATGAGAATTTTGCTAAATAATCGACACTTGATATTGAAAATATTGTTGAATTAGACAGCTTCTTTATTGGAAAACCATTGAGGCGCTATATCACAGGAAAGGCATGTTCAGGTGTTTTTTAAATGTCCTGCTAATATTCCCCTTGCGTCTTACTTGTCTCGCACTCTCTGTTTTAAAGGGGCCCTATTAGACTCATTTTCAGGTTCATAATTGTATTACGTGCTTCTACCATTTACATCAGAATCAGAATCAGATCACCTTTTATTAGTCCCACAGAGGGGAAATGAACATTGTTACAGCATGCATACAAACCCAAATCAGGCCCTTGGTGGATTTAATTTCGGCCCGCAGGATAATTTCTAATTATTATTAGATCTGGCCCGCCGGTATATTGCACGCACACCGTCACTCAATCCTGAGGGTTTCCTCAGCTCAGAGCCTGAGCCCAAACATTGTTGACCTTGCACCCAAGATGAGATGCCAAGTATCTGGCTTGAACTAGCATCACAGAGCAGCACACTGAGTTTACATGGATGTTTCCTTTTGCACTTTTTTTCTTGAGACAACAGGGCATGTTTGGTTTGTTCTTTGAAGGAAATTTTTTTTTTTAAGCTGTTGTTGGCCTGTGGAAAAATGTAATCATAAGAAATGAATGCAACTGATTATTTAATGTTTAATGTTGTTTTTATAGGCAATCATTTAAGCTTAGTTAGTTCCAGGTTTAATATGTGCAATAAGTTCATTTCAATAAGTTCTGCAATAAACATTGAACCAGTCCGGCCCTCGACTAGTACCCATTTTTTAATTTTGGCCCACTGTGTATTTGAGTTTGACACCCCTGATCTACAGGAAAGGGAAGAGCATAAAAGGGCCGTTTAACTATAACGAGGCACCTATGAAAACACAAGATACTCAGACATGTGTTAAAACAAAGCTCAATGATACTCTGTCTAAACCTTTCATCAAATGAGACCCACAAGACAGATTCAACTACGCCCTTTACTCCCAATCTAAAATCCTTTTACTTCAGAGGATCAGAATAGATCGAAACGTGTTTTTAAAATGTATTACAAGAGCGAGCCCTGGGTTCAGATTGCAGGATGTGGCGGAGGAGGAGTGTCATTTCACCGATTGCAGCAGAGTGAATCTGGAAATGAAGAGCAACATAGTGCTGATGAAACTCTGGAGCAGGTGGTAATGAAATATTGATCCACAGCGGGACGGCAAGCCGTGGCCTCAATGCTGTTAAACTCTCCTTTAAAATTCATGGATGGATAAGGATTAGGTCAAATGTGTGATTTCATTCAGTTGAATGTTAATGAACTTGTAAATCAATGTATTTTAGTCACAAAGAAATTAAACCCTCTATTCATCATTTGGAGTTTTTTCTTATTTCCTTCCTTCATAATCATCTTATGACCTCCTTACATTCCCTAAATCTTTTATTTGTCATGCAACGGGGACATTTACATTATTACAACAGCAGGTAGTGCGGAGTTTTAAAAATAAATTGCTAAGTATGCACACGTTATTAATAGCACAATAAGTACAAAAACAAAAAATAGCAGATAAGTACATCAGTATATTTGTTTTTAAGAAAAGTGTTGAAGTAAGAGCTAGCTGGTACTGTAAATACAAATACACCAATACAATGTTTCATTTCCTGTCTGCATAATTTTTATTTATAAACATATCCTTTCGGCGCTAATTTAAAATGCAAAGTAGATATCTCATTTTGAGTTCTTGTGTCTCTCTGCAGGTCAACACTATATCCTGGAGCGACACGGGTGAATATCTCTTGTCGGGGTCAGACGACACCTTTTTGGTTATCTCCAACCCGTACAACAAGAAGGTGAGTCGTGATCAATACAATTCAGATAAGATAAGATAGTACTTTATTGATCCCAATTTGGGAAATGTTTGTGTTGCAGCAGCGTAAGAAGACAAGGCAATGTACAATACAATACAAATTCAAAGACTAAAAATAAACAAGAAAGTAGAAAATATACATGTTGAATTTAACAAGGTATTATATATACAAATACAAATACAAAATATATATATATATATATATATATATATATATATATATATATATATATATATATATATATATATATATATATATATATATATATATATATATATATATACATAAATATATGACAGAAGAAATATTAATATTAAAAGACAAGAAATAAATAAGAAAGTAGAAAATATACATGTTGAATTTAACAAGGTATTATATATACAAATACAAATATATATATATACATAAATATATGACAGAAGGAATATTAATATTAAAAGACAAGAAATAAACAAGAAAGTAGAAAATATACATGTTGAATTTACAAATGAACAAGGTATAAAGCAAGGTATTATATATACATAAGTATGTGATGGAATATTAAATATTAATCTGAATATATAAATGTACAGTGTGATTTTATTCCAAGAGAAACCACATTTCTGTTCAAGTTATTTGCACCCAAAATGTTTTTTACTTTCTGGCGTTCATCAGAAGATTAAACAGTAAACCAGCCTCCTCTGTTGGTCTTCCTCAGGTCAAGAAGTCCATACGCTCCGGCCACCGGACGAATATCTTCAGCGCGAAGTTCATGCCCCACACCAACGACCAGGAGATCATCTCCTGCTCCGGAGACGGCGTCATCTACTACACCAACACGGAGAAGAGTCCTGAGCACAACAGACAGTGTCAGTTCACCTGCCACTACGGGACAGCTTATGAGGTACTATTATTACTATTTAGTGTTAATTAAACCGGCCCCGTCCATAAAAAACAATACTGTCAATAAACGAAGAGATGACGGGTGCCAGATTTAGCTATTAGCTTATTTCAATTTGCAGTCTCTTTGCAGGTACAAACTTAAAAATCAACTAAAAACAAAGCCATACATAGTCTAGAACCATACATTTAAATACCAGCAAATTTACAAGTACTATTAAAAGTCATTAAAAAGTCTTCGCTGACTGGTTGCTCGATAACAATTTTACAACATGGGAAACAGAGTAAAAGTCTGCACATGTTTTCAGCTTAACGGCTATTCAAATGTGTTGTTGGTGTTGATGAAAGCAAATGCAAAGGCTGTCCTCTTTAGTGGAGGACTCGGCAATATATTAATAATTTATATATAGAAATTAGCGATATGAGACTATGTATGGTCTTAGATTTCGCAATATGGAAGTGTTGTCTTTTGCTAGTTATAAGGGCTGCTTTACGGTACGAACCTTTTTCTGAATTTACCAGACAAGTCAATTTTTGTGCTTTTACCCACTTAGTATAAATCCTCATTACTGCTGATTATTAACCAAAATGTTCCGTGTGTTAATATTTTGTTATAACTTCAGAAGTCAACCCTACAATATCGTTGTCAATGTATTGGGTCAAACATATTGTGATCTTTCCTCAAACTCTGCTCATTTCTGGAGCTCTTAGTGGATCTGTTCAAATCTGTGCAAACGGAGCCCAAACATCTTTCTCTCGTGGTTTCCGTCTCCTAACCTCAGCTTCCTCTTTTTCCCTCTGTCAGATTATGACGGTACCAAATGACCCCTACACGTTCCTGTCGTGTGGGGAGGACGGCACGGTGCGATGGTTTGACCTCCGCACCAAGACCAGCTGTACAAAAGAAGACTGCAAAGATGTACGGTGACAACTGTGATGATTTTCTCCTTTCAGTCTGTGATTTAGTATACATGTACTCTGAGGGTGGGGGTCTTCGTGGTGGTGAGGGGGGCAGTCGTGGTGATTTCTATCATGTTGAAAAACTGGCACTTTATGGGTGAAAATGCCCCGTCTTTCGAGGGTTACTGTCCCTGACCTGTATATCTTAAATAATTAAAAGTATATTGGAGTGTTTAAAGCATTTTTTCAATAAATAGGTGTTATTTAAGATGTAATGGGCCTTCTTCTCCTTTGGCTGATGAAGTTAGGAAAAATGAAGTATTGATGATCTCCACATTCTTTTGATATAAGAGTTTATTTTCAGCGCAGCTCTCTTTAAAAACATTTTCCGTATCTGAAGCATTTCCAATGTCTGTGTGTGTGTACTGTGTGTACTGTGTGTACTGTGTGTACTGTGTGTGTACTGTGTGTACTGTGTGTGTACTGTGTGTACTGTGTGTACTGTGTGTGTGAGAAACTGTGTTGGATTGTGTTGCATCTTCTCGTATTTCGTGTTTGGGATTCATGCTCGTGACCTTAAGACTGTCAGAAGTTTTACCAGACTCAGTTACATCCCCCTCTTAATTACTCCTACAACATGTTAATGTAACAAGTGGACATCTACTGTCATTGAAATTATTGTTTAAATAATTGATCACTTAGATGGAACTCTTACATTTGGTAAAGTACGAGGAAACACTTTGCCGCTGACTTGTTCTATTAGATTCCTTTTGTGAAAAAACTGGCATATTATGTCCGACAATTTCCCTTTTTCCCCACGAGTTACTGACGCTGTCGTTCTTAAAAAATGCTATTACATAATATGGTGTAATGCATTTTTTTCATTACTGTTTTAAATAAAATGTATTGTAAAAATATCCAATCTTTATACAACCACAATGAAAAAATGACTTTTTCCCCCTTTTTTGTAAGATGATAATATCAAACCATGACGACAGACATGTGAAGCTTCATTTTAAAATAGTGTAATAAGTCATTTGGTAAAGCAATAGGAAATACTGACTCTTAAAATACCTGCTGACCTTGTCAATCGCTCATTGACCTTCAATGTACTAACCTTCCTCATTGTTTTTGCTCTGATTTCAGGACATTCTGATAAACTGTCGCCGAGCAGCGACCTCTATATCCATCTCTCCTCTGGTGCCGTACTACCTGGCCGTCGGCTGCTCCGACAGCTCGGTGCGGATCTACGACAGACGCATGCTGGGAACCAGAGCCACAGGTACGCCGTCACACGTCTGTCTTTATATTCATGTTGATGTAGTAGATTCACATGACTTGATTTTTACCAAGAGCATTAGAAAGTGACAATGGAATCACAAACTGGAACTATTTGTGTCACGATGGAGAAAGTGGACTAAATAGGCCATATTTTATTTTTTACAAACGTATGATTTAACTGTGAAGTCCTGATCACTCCCTAATGTTCGTACTTTTTACTGTTTTTATTTTATCTTTGTGTAAAAAAAGAAAAAGGCATTTCGGACAGACAAACTTAAGATGTACAATTATTACGTCTTGAAAAAACACTGTAATTGTTTGCTGCCAAAATGTCAATAAAAAATATATTACAAAAAATAAAATAACAATAGTTTCAAAATGTGGTATTTGGGTTTTTGGCAAGTTTGATTATCTGAGGTTAACAGGGATTTTCTTTCGTCCTCAGGTAACTACATGGGCCGGGGGACGACGGGGATGTGTGTGAAGTTCGTCCCCGCTCACCTGTCCAACAAGTCGTGCCGCGTGACGTCTCTCTGCTATAGCGCGGACGGCCAGGAGGTGCTGGTCAGCTACTCCTCCGATTACATCTACCTGTTCGACCCCAAAGACGACCAGGCCCGAGAGCTGAAGGGCCCGCCTAGCGAGACGAGGGATGAGGTGAGCCATGGAGTCAGGCTCCTCATATTACACCATCACTGCTGTACATTTACATACAGTACAGAGACTTGTACCATAATCAACATGGAGATGCAAACTCAAATCAGCAAGCTTCCTGCCGGTACATTTCAATAACCCTTACCATTTTTAAGCGATACATTCTAATAAGATTTTCTTTCGTGCAGTGGAAACAAACTTTTGTCCTGGTATCAATGGAGAGCTCCTTCCACCATTTTGAAACCAGTTTAACAAACGGGCATGTTTTTTGTTGAGGGATTCCTGGTTTTAGTAACGATAGTGGTGCAGGACAGTGATATGTCTTTGGGTCAGTATATTCAGCACTTTCAATTCGATGGGTTGCAACAAATAAAAAAGATATGCTCCAGAGCAGCATGTTTAAATTAAAAATAAATATAATTGTAAACTGTTATGGAGCTTGATGAATAGAAATGCAACCAACGATATTTTTCATTATTGATTTATCTGTTTATTTTGTTTCAGCTATAAATCATTTGGTCTATTGGTGTCACAAAGTACATACCAGTTTCTCTCTCGTTTTGTTGGTCAAAAACTCAAAGATATTCATTTAAGTTTTATACAAAACAGAGAAAAAGCAGGAAATCTTCCTATTTTTCTCTGCTTTATATAGATCATCTTTATTGGGCAGTTTAAAGTATTTCGTTGCAAGACTGTAGGCTTTTCCTTTTTTTGTTGACACTGTTTTCTAATAGTCTGGCACCCACGGTTTGCATCTAATTATAATTGTATATGTACCAAAGAAAATAAACAGAAACAGAAAGTGTGGCCAAGAAAAGCCTTCCAGGTAAACAGTGAAAGTGTTAACCCTAACACACTTTCACCAGCCTCGTGGGGAGTTCAGCTGTGTCGGGATGCAACCACCGCACACATTCCTTTCCAAATACAGCCACCGACGTAGGCAGTGTTCCTCTATCCTCCAAAATAGTTCAGGCTGAGTGGGCCAAGCAGAGGCTCATTACCCCCCCCCCCCCTCCCCTCTTTCTCTTTCCTTCACCTGTAGCCTGGTTTCTTAAGGGCCCTCTGCTCTCTGAGTTATCCCACTATCTCTGCCCCGCTCTGCTCCTTTTCACCGCCTCAAGCCCATAACCAGACCTGATGACATTTCCTAAAGTAAAGCAGTTGATAGTCCCTGCACTAAGACCCCCTTTTTCTATTTCTGGCTCGCGGCCTGTTGCCTTGCAAAGAGCGCCAGGGGACTGGAAAATGGAGGCAACCTCTGCCAGGAGGGGGCACTTTAAAAAAAAAAAGGACGCTGACAGAGACGAGCAGTGTTTTGCTTTGGCAGTGGGGCTATTTTTGACCATGCCTTGACTGACAAAGTGTGTGTGTGTGTGTGTGTGTGTGTGTGTGTGTGTGTGTGTGTGTGTGTGTGTGTGTGTGTGTGTGTGTGTGTGTGTGTGTGTGTGTGTGTGTGTGTGTGTGTGTGTGTGTGTGTGTGTGTGTGTGTGTGTGTGTGTGTGTGTGTGTTGTGTGTGTGTGTGTTGTGTGTGTGTGTGTGTGTGTGTGTGTGTGTGTGTGTGTGTGTGTGTGTGTGTGTGTGTGTGTGTGTGTCAGTTTCTGAGACAGCTGAGACAGCCTCCAGTGAAGCGCCTCCGCCTGCGGGGGGACTGGTCTGACACTGGACCCCGCGCTCGCCCTGAGAGCGAGAGGGAGAGAGACGGTAAGACGGACACAGCAACTGACGCGTATGTGTTGCTGCTTGTTAAGTTTAAAGCACAGAGCTCAGGTTACAGATCCGGGCTCTGAGACTTTCCCAACGCCCCCCCCCCCCCCCCCCCCCCCCTCACATATTCACATTTTCTTGCAAGGCTGCAAATTTGGAGCGTAAACGTTTTTTTAATTCACATTTATTCAGCTGTGCCTAACTGCAGCATTTCAGCTTACACATGAAAGCAGTTGCTAGTGATACCCCCACCAATATTTAGGTGGCTCCTTTAAACAAATCCATGTCTGTGTTCCACTTCAATGCTAATGTCACAATAACTACATATCACAAAACATAGCCCTCTTCTACTGGGAAGAAACCCAAACAAACCTGGAAGACACCAAATACAGCTCAGAACAAATAAAATATGTTTGACGAATGGATTGTTGTTTTTCAAAGGGTTTTTAAATGGATTCTTTAATCTAAAAAATACCAAAACAGAAGAAAAATACGATTTTCTTACTAAGATTTACAGGGTGTCCGCGGGGTCTTAAAAAGTATTAAAAGTTGATAAATCAATTTAGCGAAAGTTAAGGCTATTAAAAAGTATTAAACGGCATTTTCCAAGGTATTACATTTGGTAGCTTGTTTTCAATAAGTATATAAATTGTCCAAAGAGGTTGTATTCTACAGTCTGCCTGAATGTAATCATTGCGTAGGTGTGTAGTGTGATTCTGTGTAGTTTATTTATGGCATCCCGTTGGATTTGACGTCATCTGAACAGGACATCGCACGCTCACTAATTGATAGCACGTGAAGGCCCGTTTACGCCGGTTGTTAAACAACATCGTTATGGGGAAATGCAAGTTTGCGTCCAAATGGTTGGAAGATAAGGAGGAAGGACAATCAATACTGTATATATATAGTAAATGTGAGGTAAAGTGTGTCGCCAATGTAACCGGTTAGAACTCGAAGTGGCGATGAGGTCTTAAAATGTATGGAAAGGGTCTTAAAAAAGGTCTTAAAAGGTTTTACATTTGACTTCAGGATTCCTGCATATACCCTGATTTGGCACAAACGCCTTACTTTCACTATTTCCCCTAATTAATCACTTGTTGAAATGTTTTAATTTCCAAAGCATGAGGCTCGTCAACTAATCATTATTTGCCAAAATGAAATGTCCCCTTTCTTTTCTAAGGCCTTACATAAGAAACACCAGTCCCTATGAACTACGTCAATCAAATATTATGGCACATATCCGCCTCTGTCATGTTTGTTTGAATACGTCCAGCAGCTGTTAACCTTTTTTTATCCTTCACTATCACAGGGGAGCAGAGCCCGAACGTGTCTCTGATGCAGAGGATGTCGGACATGTTGTCTCGGTGGTTTGAGGAGGCCAGCGAGGCTCAGAGCAGCCGAGGAACCCGACCGCAGACACGGCCCACAGGTGAGACGAGAGTCCACACACACAGCCAATCAGACACATCATGAGTCCTGGAATGACCCCTGTGTGGATGTCTGTTTATGTTGGGTTTTGTTTATTTAAAGGGCAATATATTCCTGCAAACAAACTCAGTTTTCAAACAAATGTAATATATATTTTGCAGATTAAATGAGGGTAATTTGGCTGTTGGCATCTTTTCAACATACTTTAATGTGATAAATATTGTATAATCTATTTCTAGATCTTTTTTTCTTAAAAAAGTTTTAAATTATAATTTTGGCTAACACTGGTGCCTTTACTGTATAGTAATAATTAATCAAAGTGCATTGTTACTGAATAAAAAAAAGGCCAGCCCCAGTCAGTTGAGTTTTCAATTTTTTTAGATAAAGACTCAAACTCAGTTACCTTAGTTACATATATGTGTCAGCAACACAAATGCTGGTGATAGATATTCATAATTGACCATGTAGTCGGATTTTAAAATGTGAGATTTAATCAAAACATCATAACAAATTCATAAATTAATCCTGATCATTCCTCTTGTTTCAGTGGCCGCTGTGCGTCTAGGGGGGGCGTCGAGTGTTCCTGCTCTGCCTGCTCCGGCGGGCTATCATCTGTTTGCAAATCCACAGAGGACTGCAGAGCCAACCCCCCCGGAGGAGCCAGCCGGACCTGCAGCAGCCGCCGCCACAGCCATCCCTAAATCCACCTCCTCTTCATCCTCAGGGTCGTCATCAACAGTCACAGCACCTCCTCCGTCCACCTCCTCTTCAGTGGAGAGCTCAGTCCCTTCCTCCTCCTCGCCCGACACCACCGGGACCCCCACGCCCACCCCCGCTCTCTCAGGTAAGAGAGCAGCTACACACCTTCTGGTACGCACAAATTCACATTTGACTCTTCAGCTCAGTTCATCCTCAGACCATCGCCCCTGTGAGTAGCTGTGTGTGTTTGTTGGAGCAACTCCAGTCAAGCAGCCCCCCCCCCCCCCCCCTTTACTTCCGCATCCTGTTGTCCTTTTCCTTGTTTATTTTCTGTTTCCCTGACATCCTCCCCCTCCTCCTTAAATCATGCATTCCCTCTCCCTCTCTCTTCCTCTGCCTCTTCGTCAGAGTACGGTCCTCGTCGGCTGCCCATAAGTTTAGTGTGTAGGCGTTTGCAGAGGTTACTCCGGCTGGCCGACCCCCCAGGAATGGGTCCGCGAGCCGCCCGTTCTTCTCCTTCTTCTTCTTCTTCTTCTCCATCTGCCTCTTCCTCCTCTCCTTCCACCTCAGCCCCTGAGAGACAGTCACAAAGAGCTGCTTCATCTTCTGCTGCTGAGATGCAACCCCTCACAGGTTACCCTCCCCTCTGTGTAGGACAGGCAGACATGTTTGTTTGTAGAGGTTACAGGAAGACCCCGCCTTGCTAGAACTGACCACTAATCTCACATTGATCCTCTTTCCATTCCCCCAAAATAATGCACCTTGTACTTATTAACCCCGAGTCGCCCTCTGCTGTTTGTTCAGCCCCTCACTCACTAATGCCGTCACTCCATCGCTCCTCTCTCGTTGCTTGAGTTTTCACCCGAGTGGCACCAGCTTCTGCTTTTGGCATCCTCATGTGGTTGTTCACACGTGTTTTAATGATGCATACTGATCAGCTGACTTTGCTTTGATCGCACTCAAACTTGGGATTCACATATAAAGCCCTTTTCTATCTACTGTTCCTGGTTAAATGATGGCGTCATGTTAGTCACATGACAAATATGTTTCCTGTGACTTAAAGGTGGGGTAGGTAATTCACTTCAGAAACACTTTTTGTTATATTCCATGGAATGCTCTTAACATCCCGATAGCAATGAATACATTAAATGCTTTGACAATAAATACATTAAAAAATGTGGAAGCCGTGGCGCTGTAAAAAGCACGACCAATCATCTGAGCCGGCCCGGCTAAAATAACTGGATGGCCTACCTGCCTGTCAGCCTTCCATCTCGTGGAAAAACTTATCTCATGCCCTCATTGGTCATGTGCGCGTTCGTGTGTGTTGGAGGAGGGGCTCTGTAAGGAAGTCTGAAGGAAGGGGCAGATTTTTGTCGGCTGCGTAGTTTCAAATTCTAGCGCACTCGAGCTGGTTTCTCCATTCTTACCTACCCCACCTTTAACTTAGAGTCTCAACAGAAACAGCCTCACAACTCTTCTGGTGCAAAGATAACTTATTTTGGAAGTAAGTTGAAGACTTTCTAATGTCTGACAGTGCACAAGCATATAATGACAATATATTACTTTACTTTGATCAGATGCTGTGTGTAGAGCATGTTTTGCTGCATACTCATTTATGAATCCATGCAGTCCAAATAAAGAAGGAGAGAAAGACAGAGAAAGTCTTGTCTTGTTGAAAGTCATAAAAAATACTTTTAGCTTACACTGTCAACTTTGAAATGTAAAAGTAGCACATTTACATTTTAACAGAATGGTTTATTGAATAGATTTTGTTAAACTAAAGATAATAATGTATTTATTATAGTGCTCTTTATGCGAACAAGTGCATTTAATATCTCTGAGCCTTTATGTTAAAGGGACGATATGTAATCAAGAGACTAGGACATGTTAGAGGGTTTGTCCTGGTTAGATTTAAGGGACTCTTTAAGGGATTTAAAACTGCAGTCACATTCACAAGCTGCATGTATGACATTTTAAATGTGTTATATGACACCAAAAAGTCATTCATTAATTGAAAGGGCAATTGCTTGCATTGGTAGTGTTACAATAGAGAGGACCCTCCCTTTCCAGGGGGGCTCCATGGGACCTTATTTCGGAAAAATTATGTATTGAAGTCAATGGCGAGAGAAAGATGATCTTTCGATCCCGTTTGAATTGAGCCACGAATTACACATATGATGTTTGTCAATTTAAAAGATAATTTTTTGTGAATTTTTTGTGAATTTTTTGTAAAACTGTGAAGTAACACTTTTTTTTTGTGTGAAACCGCTCAATGAACTACATCTCCCGTCTCGCACCACACACCAAGACGGCCGTCACGTTGGCACATTTCACTTCTTTCTTTCAGAATGAGGCGGAAAGTATTAAAAGAGGTGAAAATCACTCCAAGTCTGGGCATGTTGAGAGCTGTACATACACACAAGGGGGGTTAGTCGGTTCCGTAAGGCTTTTGATTGGCTGTCACTTCTCTAACTAAATTCATAACAAATAAAAACACATTGGACCCATTAGGATTGTTTTAAAGGCAAACAAAATGTAATTATAATGTTTGTGAGCTTGATGCGTATGAAACCATTGCAGGGAATAACGTTTTTTTTAAGCACTACATGTAGTAAGCATGTTTGAACTTGTCATGTTTTTACTAATCTCTGAGACTCATTTTGCTCATCGAGTGGATGTGAAATGCTCAGATGAACCTTTGGCTGATTTTACAGCTTGGCCTTGGACCGTTTTTACTTCTTTAACATGACTGACGTTTTTTAACCCTCCTGCGTGACGACTGTGTGAAGTCCTCAGCCTCTGTGTCCGATGTTTAGTGGGTTTCATTTGTGTTCCAGATTCCCCCTCGTCTGTGGTAAACAAACAGCTGGGATCCATGACTCTTGACGAACAGCAGGGTGCGTCCTCCCCCCCCCCCCCCCCCCCCGCCCCTGCCTCTCGCTTTGTCTTCCTCGCCCGCTTCTCATACACACAAACACTTTCTCTCAACCCTCTGCAGTCTGTCCTCCATGTGTCTTCATGCTTCTAGTTTCTCTGTCCACATCTTCCCATTGTTCCCATTTCAACTTTCAAGGCTTTTATTGTCACGTGTGCATAGCTACAGTGAAGTTATGACAATGAACATCTTAGGTCACAGGCTCCTCCAACAGTGCAACACAATAAAACAGATACAATAGTACTAGTACATTAAAATAGAATAGAAACAGAATATGATAGAAACTGTGCAGAATAGTCTATATACAGTAATTGGAATATTGATATATGTGAGTTCAGGTGTTTAACAGTCTTATGGCCTGTGGGATGAAATTATTATTATTATTATTATTATTATTATTATTATTATTATTATTATTATTATTATTATTATTATTATTATTATAATTATTATCTGCCCAGACACATGTTGATGTGCCTCCAGATAGACATGTCTCTATCTGACCAGAGTAACTGTGACTTCAACTAATATAGCAACAGAAATAGTAATTAAAGTCTCAGTAAATTAATAATGATAATCTCTTGTGTTTTTTTGTGTCATTGACATTAATCAAGCAATATTATTTTGTATCAATATTCAATTATTAACATTGATCAGGTACGCATTGTTCAGGTGGAGTAACACACTTCTTTACATATGCGTTAGGGGTTAATTCACCCAAATTTCCAACAAAAACTAAATATATAAAACACATGTTATCCCATGTTTTACATAAATCTGTTTATTGATTTTTATTTGTATTAAACAAGGCTGGATAAAATATATAACTTGAAAAACTGCAGCAACAATAGGCAAACAATGACATTTAAATGAATACAAAAGAAGCAGGTTTTCAATGTATGATAAAAAGTGTTTGGGGCATATTTTTAAGAAAGTGTCGCATGCCAATGTAATACCTCTGATTTCGTGTGTGTGTGTGTGTGTGTGTGTGTGTGTGTGTGTGTGTGTGTGTGTGTGTGTGTGTGTGTGGTGTGTGTGTGTGTGTGTGTGTGTGTGTGTGTGTGTGTGTGTGTGTGTGTGTGTGTGTGTGTGTGTGTGTGTGTGTGTGTGTGTGTGTGTGTGTGTGTGTGTGTGTGTGTGTGTGTGTGTGTGTGTGTGTGTGTGTGTGTGTGTGGTGTGTGTGTGTGTGTGTGTGTGTGTGTGTGTGTGTGTGTGTGTGTGTGTGTGTGTGTGTGTGTGTGTGTGTGTTACAAAAGCATAAACTTAATCATAGAAATTGAAACATCTGTGATGTGTTTATCAATTTCAAGATTGATAATCATTGCATCTAGGTTGTTATACTAGTTCTACTTTCTACTTGAGGCTTAAAGTTGACTTGTTTTAAACCTCATCATGTATCATGCTCTCGCTGTTCTTATTGATAGCAAACAAATGTTGCTGTGATGGATTTTAAAGGGAACTGCTTAAAAATCAGTTGTCCTTATCACCTTAAAAATCCACTACAAACTAAACTGTAATAACCAGCGTGTGTGTGATGTTCCTTCAGCGGCTTTGACCTGTGTGTCCTGATGTGTTTGTGGCGTGTTGCTGAAAGTCGTCACAGAGTGTCTACTTTTTAGTCCGCTGCATGTTTGTGTTTGGAAATGATGCAGCAGAAGGGTGTATGTTTCCGTGTGTGCCTTTAAACACAAATAAATGCTGTGAAAAACTTCTTTTTTTTTTATCAGAATAACTGTCAGAGCAGATTAGAATAAATCCTTGTTGCTTGTTTTGCCTGTGTTTCTCTCTCAGGAGCAACAGAAGCTGCAGGTTCGCCTCCTGATCAACCTGTTTCTGCACCGGTTAACGCTCCCACTACCTCCACCACCTCCTCCTCCTCCACCTCCACATCCTCCACCACCTCCTCCTCCACCTCCACCCTGAGCAGCACAAGTCGGCCCAGCGCAGCAGAGCCCGTCCTCAGCCTGCACTACAGCTCCGAGGGAACCACCACCAGCACCATTAAGCTGGACTTCACTGATGAGTGGTGAGGGGTCGCATAGTTTCTTATTCTCCCCTTTAACACATGTATTGTTTTGCGATACGATACGATAATACTTTAATGGTCAGATCAAGTCTGACATTTGACTTGCATCACAGCAGCTCCATGTGTAACATCAACATGGACACATATCAAGACACAACACATGAACAACAAACCTTTAACATAACAGCACAATCACTGAGAGACAACCTGCTCAAAGAGCCTTCAGCGTGCATTTGATCTGGGATCAGCTCTGTGTTTACTGCGAGGATTGACTGGAGCACAAAGGATGCTTCAGTCTGACTTTATTGAATTGTCATGGAAGTTTATTCATTTTAGCACTAATTATAATTTCTGAACAAATGTTTATGTTAACGTAGTCGCTCCTTCTTCCTCAAACATATGATAATGGACCCTCTAGAGCCCGAGTGGTCAAACTGCAGGAATTAGTTGATATCTGATTTTCTCTTATTGCCCAGCCCTAGTGAGGAAGAAGTAAGAAAACACAGTGGCTTGAGACCCTCTTTGTAACTGTTTGTATCTCCCTCACAGGAGCAGTAGCACATCGAGCTCTATGGGCAGCGGGGGTCCCAAAAGATCTGAATCTGTTCCTGCAGTGAACCGAGAGAGTCTGTCCACGGAGAGCTCAGCCGCAGAGCAAAGTGAGTCCTTATATTCATGTTTAAATATTACAAGCATTCAACAACTTGTATACAAAGTCCTACTTGCAGTGTCCCTTTAAATGTTGCACATCTTTTTAAAAAGTGTCACTTTCCCTTTCAAAATGTTTGATACTGCACACAGTCATTTCCAATCCAATCCAACTTTATCTATATAGCACATTTAAAAAAAAGTTGACCAAAGTGCTGTACATCAATAAATATATATAAAAGCAGCATATATAGCGACTGTGGCTGCGAGGGAGTGCGGTCGTCTTTCAACCAGAAGGTTGTGGGTTCGATCCCAGCCCGTGCAGTCAACATGTCGATGTATCCTTGGGCAAGATACTTAACCCTGAGTTGCTCCCGATGGCCAATGGTGTGTGATGTGTATGAATGTTATGGCGCGTTTCCACTACACGGCCTCGCTCGGCCCCGCTCGGTATGGCTGGGCCTCGTTAGGACTGGCTCACTTTATGGCGCATTACCATTACAGTTTAGGATGGGGTAGTGTCTATAGTAACGCAGTGTAGGCGGAGCCGTGACGTGATCTTCAATGAGAACCCCAGAAAAACAACACAGCCGTTAGCTGTTAGCACTCAGAGCTCACAGCTCCTCATATCTGTTCAGAAACTAGACAAAAGTTAAACAAGTACAAACCACAGACTGCCTGTGTCATGGTGAATACAGTCGCTGGTTTATTTATGTCTGTAGGCCGTTGTGAGTGTGGACGGTCGGAGCATATACTGCGTTAGCTTAGCCAATCTCCATTTAGAAAACAAGCATTTTAAAAGGTTTTTCCCCTGCCGTCTGTCTGCAGACTTGACAAAGCATTAATTCATGGTTTTTACTAACCGGTATCAGTATGTTGTTACTTCGGCATCATTTTGAAACGTGTATTACAATTAAATCACGGTCAAATATGTCCATCTTGTTGTAGTTGTAGCCCCCTTGCCAGCGATGCTCTCTCTAGTTTAGCATACTCAGCCCGACTCAGCCTCGTTGTCTCTGGCCCTCGAACCACGATTTTATGAGGCCAGAAAAACTGTGAATTAGGACCCGCCGGCCGGTACTAGGCCAAGTGGAAACGCAACCAAAGACGGGCCGCTGACGTCACAGCCCTCTTAAACCGTGCTCCGCGCTGTAGTGGAAACGCGCCATTAGTTCCTAGAGTAAGGTACACTGCTCTGTGTGAATGGGTGTGAATGACATGTAGTATGTAAAGCGCTTTGAGGGGTCGTAAAGACTGGATAAAGCGCTATGTAAGTACAGTCCATTTACCATATACATTTAAACAAAACCGATAGGACAAAAGTAAATGTATGTAAAAGAACGAGACAATAAAACCATACTTATAGCCACAGACTGAAAACCCTCGTACATGATGTAAAAACGTTTAAAAACACAAAAAAATAGAAAACCCCAATTTAGAAAACACAGACTAATACGTCTTTTACTTTGTCATATTCTTAATGTAAACATTGATTTGTATCTAAGAATATTTAGAAAGTTGTTTTTTTCAATACTTCTATATAATCCTAGATTACAATGTAATTAATATGCATTTGTTTGCATGTCGAGTAAAGGCTCTACAACTGCATTTTGTGGCGAAACCCTGTGTTTTAAAATGCAATTCATCTAAAGGTATATATGTATACTCTATGATACACTAGCAAAATCCTTGTATGTGTAGCGTACTTGGCCTTAAACTTCATTCTGGTTGTATTTCAGCTCCCTCTCTGTCCTCGGGGCAGCAGAGTGTCGCGGCCGCCTCCTGCTCCGGGGCCCAGGCTGCTGCTGCTGCTGCTGCTGCTGGATCCTCTCAGTGGGAAACCGTGGCTCCTTCAGGGGCGGAGAGCAGTCCGCCTGTGGGCACGGAGGACAGGACGGGGGGCTGCAGGAGAGCGGAGCCCCGAGGGGAGGAGGGGGGCGAGGAGGGCCAGAGTCAGGCGGCACGGCCCCACCAGGACTCTGACGACAGCGACGATGACCCCATCCTCATCCCGTCCACCAGGTTCGGGGGTCAGGGCCAGAGGTACGCCGCAAACAATCTGTCTATACAGTGGTGCAGGGGTTTTTCTGTAGGCTGACCCGGAAGTTTGCATATCCTTTCGCCTACTTGTCTTTCATCCTTTTTTTTTTTTATAACTAATGCTGTTGATATATTGTGATTTTAAAGGTGTCTATTACCATCTGGACAACAGCTGGAAATTAGCAATGTTGGCTAAAGCTGCCCCATTTACTGTTTTTTGGTGACAGTTGATCAATGGGGACTGTCCACGACACTATAAACAAATCAATGGGATTTTTCCTTTGGATTTTGTAATTCTGCAGGGAACAATAGAATAGAATAGAATATAATATATCTTTATTGTCATCATACAAAGTACAACGACATTTCTTTGGCAACTCTCACTGCAGTAAAAAATAGACACAATAAATAAATAAGAGTAAAAGCAGAGGTAGTAGCGATGACAGTGCAACGAGATCAAATTCAATGTCAATGTGCATATTTACACTTGGTCTAAATATATATTAGTAAAATAGCCATAAGTATTTCTAAAATAGTAGTTGTTGCAGTCTTTGAGAGGTGGACTTGTGTGATAATCTCAACATATTAACAGCGCTTTATAATAATTGAAGCATAAATGCAATCAACCAGAAGTAAAAATCTAACCGTAAAAGAACTACATCACGGTCGCATGACGACTCGTCACCCCGGCTAAAGCTAACGGTGGCTAATGGTCAGCATGATGACGTTTAGTAGTCTTTATTTAGTCACTTTTTTTTACAACACATGGCTTCAGACAATCATTAGCGGGTTATTTCATGTGTTTTTATTCCTAGAACAAAACGGAAAAATCTTGTAAAATCGTATTTCAAGAATCGAACCAAAAACTCATTCGGACCGTTTGTTCAAGACGGCTAAAAATAAGTGCTAAAATGCTAACTTATACCCGGGTTTTAAGACTCATTCCTGCACCACTCTATTCACTGACAACAAGCAAGAAAATGTACTTTTGAATTCACGTTATTATCTCATTGCTTTTGTTTAATTTAGAAGGTGGGTATTCTGATTATTTTGTGATGCCTTCCCATTGACTGTTTTACTACTAATATAGATTAAATTCCAGAGGATCTGCAGTAGGAGATAGGATGATCAGGTAAAGTGTTTGCACTAAAAGCATCTAACCTGTCAGGTGTGTGACATGCAGCAGAGCTTAAAAACTCAACAGCACAACATGATGAAGAGGATTTGTCTTGGTTTGGTCCTTTCACTCACGAAAAACTAACACACACAGCTTTATCTGTAGAGCAGAGTGATGTGCATGTGAGTACTGACACACACATGAGTAGCAGCATCACTGCAGCATTTTGAAGATTGTTTAATGAAGAGGGTTGGAATAAGAAGCATGATGGCAAGATCTGAACACATGTAAAGGTTTGATTTCCTCAGAGGAGCGTTTTTTAAACTAATAATGACCCAGAATTGGTGACTACTTTCATGTAGTTCATGGAGAAGGCTTTGCACCACAACATTAAGAGCCTAATTCAGTCATCATGTGTTCTGTCTGAAAGAGGCTGCTTCCTGGCTTGGGGGTTTGTTCATTTTCTATAATAAAATAAGTAAAGTAAGTATCAATGCATGGGGCTCATAAGAATAGAGAAGCGAAGTCACGCCCATCTACTTCCGACCCATGGGACCTTATTTAGGAAAAATTATGTATTGAAGTCAATGGAGAGAGAAAACGTATCTTTCGGTCCCGTTTGAATTGTGCCACGAATTACACATATGATGTTTGTCAATCTTAAAAAATAATTTCAATGTCAAAAAAGTCACAGTTTGTCGTAAAACTGTTGAAATATAAGACTATGAAAAATACGCAACTAGAAAGACTACAAATCCCAGAATCCCGGTCCCGCATGCTGGCTCTTACGAACCGACTAACTCCCCTTGTGTGTATGTACAGCTCTCAACACGCCCAGACTTGCAGTGATTTTCACCTCTTTTAATACTTTTCGCCTCATTCTGAAAGAAAGATTATCTTTCGATCCCGTTTAATTCGTGGCACAATTCAAACGGGATCGAAAGATAATCTTTCTCTCTCCATTGACTTCAATACATAAGTTTTCCGAAATAAGGTCCCATGGAGGTCCCCCGGAAAGGGAGGGACTTCGCCTCTCTATAAGAGACAGCATGTGTCTTTTTTTTGGTTTTTCTGGAAACATTATTATCACATGCTTTGTTTTTCTTGTGTTTTCCAGACGCTCAGCAGCCGCTCGTATCCAGGAGCTTTTCCGCAGGAGGAAAGAACGACGGGAGATGGAGGAGAGCGAGACCCAGAATATCAGGATACCCTTGGTCAAGCAGGTCTACAAAGGCCACCGCAACTCCAGGACAATGGTACTGCTTTGACCTCGCATTCAGTGGCCTCTGGAAGGAATGGTTCAATATGTTTAAGGAATACAGTTACTTGCTTTCTTAGCTGAGAAGAGCGTTACCACTGTCCTGTGTGGGGTAAAGCTGAGGTCAGGAGACTCTAAGCTTAGCATGGACAGGAAACAGGGAAACGGCTAGTCTCAATCTGTCCAAAAAAACAACCACCGTATGTCTCCGACAGCCTTGGACAGAGGCTCTATGATTTTGGGTTGTCTGTTGGCTTTAAAATAATTTCTTGAATTAACTGATTCGTTTTTTTTTGCCATATCTCAAGAATGAATGTGACAAATGTAAACAAACAAAAGGACAGTTTATATTACTTTACATTTATAAACAACAGCTGGGCTGAATGACTCCCTTGAGGACAGTTTGTTTGTGTTTTAATGGGACTTTAGTGAATCAGAACTAACTCCTTTAAAGGTCACCTATTGAGCAAAATCCACTTTTTCATGTCTCTTCTACATCAACATGTGTCCCCTCTTTTTCATGTCTCTTCTTCATCAACATGTGTCCCCTCTGTGTAAAGAGATTCTGAAAGTTTCAGGAACAAAGATTCTCTCTCTTTCTGTCCTGATCCATTTATATAAAAACCTGTCTGAAAATGAGCTGATCAGATTTTGGCCACTTCATGATGTCATAGCGTTTTTTTGGCTTGTGTAACCATTAGCCAATAACCAACCAAGGTAACCCCCCCCCCCCCCCCCCCCCTTATCACCTGAATCTCCTCCTAGAGCACCATTGTGTTCTTTGTAACCAAATATCTCTCAGAGGGGCGTGGGGAGGGGCTCCTTATTTTCATCTAAAGTAACAGACAGAGAATCAGCACTTTTGAAACAGGGCTGAAACAGAGGGGATTATGGGATGCTGCAATGATCTGTTTGGTGTTTGGAGCCAAACACTTCAGAGACATGTTTTGTATATATCTGAGACCTATAATATATTGATGAAATACTGTATAATAGGGAAATGTAAAACACCAGAGTGACACAATAATGCAAACAAATATTTTCTGTGTGGTCCAGATAAAGGAGTCTTGTTTTTGGGGCGACAACTTTGTGATGAGCGGCTCAGACTGCGGCCACATCTTCATCTGGGACCGACACACAGGGGAGCACCTCATGCTGCTGGAGGCCGACAACCACGTGGTGAACTGCCTGCAGCCGCACCCCTACGACCCCAGTGAGTCCCCCCGCACCCCCACTCAAAAACAGAATCTGAACACTTCAGGAAATGTGGTTTTGTAACAGTTGCTCCATTTAATTAAAATTAAGGAGATTAGGGCTGCAAACTTAATTACTTTTAAAAACCCATTTCTAAAACATGTGATTTTTATGTATATTTTTTATGACATTACATTTGATTTTACTCTCATTTTGTGAAGGCACTTTGTAACTCTGCTTGAAACATGCTATATAAAAGATTATTATCATTGTTTTAGAATAAAATAAAAATATGTGCACATTATAAAACAATAATAAAAAGGTGAGAATGTAATAATACAATCCATACAGTGGTGTAGCAGTATTGGGAATTATTTATTCTTATTAATTATTGATCAAACTGTCGATGTAATGCAGAAATGATCCTAAGTGACATGAGTATTGCAGACTATCCCACGGGGAGTTTAAGTGTGTAACGATGATTTTCCGTGTTTCAGTTCTGGCTTCTTCGGGGATTGACTACGATATCAAGATTTGGTCGCCACGGGAGCAGGCGGCGTCTTTCAACAGAATCCTCGCTAATGAGGTATGACCGTGGATCGATTGTTTAATGCTGATCTGCTCATAAACAATATTATATATTCCCTCGTGTTCAAAAAGAGAGGATTTCAAATAGTTAAGCGATATAATGGAAGTGTACATTTATGTCGGGTAAGGTGTGCTTTTTCTCCCCTATTAAATCCCCTACACTTTTGTAACCTACAAGTGCAACTAACCATATATAACATGTTCATTTGTGACCTTATTAACATGTTATTTATGGTTTAAGTTGCCGATAAATGGATTGTGTTCCTGTTTCAATTGCTGGTGTCACCTAACTCTAGCCAAGAAAATAATGAACACTGAGTCCTGAAACTGACTATGAAGTAGGGCTGCTCGATTATGGCAAAAATCATAATCTCGATTATTTGGGTCAATAATTGATATCACGATTATAAAAAACGATTATCCATTATCCATTTACTTTGAAAAAAAAAATGTTGAACAATATGTTTTTAACAGTTGATTACCCTGAACTTTAAAGTGGACCTATCATGCTATATTATAATAATATAGTGTAGGACCATACCTATATAAGGCATATTTATACTTTTTACTACTTTTTCAAAATACCAAACAGATCATGCATTTTAGCCATGCCTCATTTCGCTCAATGTGCACTTTTTTAGCTCTGTTTTTGCAAGGGTTGATTCTGTGAGAACAGCACCATCTACTGGCCTGGCATATGTACTACAGCGTCTCCAGCGCTTTCGAACGGCAATGGCCGTGGCTGTCTCCTCCTGATTGGTGGAGTTGGCCCAATAGCCGTAGCGCCACCGTCCTGACGTCAGGACAGAGTTCAAATCTAGATCAGTTTTTATCAGATCCGTTGCAGCCCCTTTTTTAGAGATTTGGGTATGGAGGAAAATAGAGAGGGTTGTGTTTTCTGACACTTGGTGAGTTCCCTGGAACACCGGGGACACATATTCATGTATACAAGACGTACAAAAGTGCATTTTGCATGATAGGTCCCCTTTAAGTATAATTCAACTGAAATCCCACAAAAAAATGTTTTTTAAATAAAAATAATCGTTTTATTTCGATTATGTTGTTTTCATAATCATTGCAAGCCAAAATCGTAATTGCGATTAACATACGATTAATTGAGCAGCCCTACTATGAAGAGAGTTAATTTCAGGGTTTTATATCTAATACATTAGGTGGATTTGAGCTGATGTTTTGAGTTTTTGTTCAGATGAGGGTACTTTGTCTTTTTAAACCTTCCTCCCGTCTGTCAGATTATTCACATTCCCTCTTTGTCTTTTTAATTTCTCCTAATTTGTTTTAGGTAATCACTCGAAATGAGCTGATGCTAGAGGAAACCAGGAACACAATCACAGTCCCGGCCTCTTTCATGCTCCGAATGTTGGCCTCCCTTAATCACATCAGATCAGGTACAAACACACTCTCTCACATTTATTTCATCGTGCAAATTGTATAAATAAATGTCACCTATTAATGTCGATTCCTGTCCCCTTCGTTGAAATCTTGCTTTGTTTGTCTTCAGATCGATTAGAAGGGGATCGCTCCGAGGGTTCGGGACAGGAAAATGAGGAAGAGCAGTAGCCTGCGGGCATTTTAAATTGAAATAAAAAAACTATTTCTTCTTGCTGTATAGCACATGAAAAAAAAAAACCCTGAGATTTGTACAAGTATAGTGTAGAATACTTCCTTTTGAAAACTAGTGTAATTTCTAGGCCCCCCCTGTGTTTTTTTTATGACTTTCTTACTGATGTTTCTGTATGAGGATAATCTACATCTGTGTGAATGCAAGAGGCAAAGGACGTCAGTATATATATATATTAAGTGTGAGAATAATGGCGGCTGGAGTGCAAGGATGTTAAGTGCAATATTATTTTGTTAGGAGAAAGTGAGCTTTGATCAGTGTTAACGTGTGACATTTTGAATTTGTAGCACAAAGCTAAGAATTGTTGATGTGCTGCTCCGGCAGTTACGCATGTAAACAAGGACTTTAAGTAAAAACATACTTGGAGAATGCTTTCATTTTATTGTTGAAGAGAAAGAAAAAGAAGCCGTGGTTCTTCTCCCTCAAGGGGACATGTTAATACATTATAATCTTTTACAGAATTTGGAGAATAAAATAAAACCATGGCATCTCAAAGATGTCTGGAAGATATAAGTTTAAGTTTAATCAACAACAATATGAGCGACATTAGACAGCAAAGAGCATCTTTTACACTCCAGATACGACTGTTGGTCATTATTACAGCTGTGCCAAATACTTTCAAGCTTTGACGGCTGAGCAGCTCTCATAGGAAAGAACGAGGCCTCCGACGCTGTATCCTGTTCTTATTATACATCCATGGGAAAAACAGGCACTCACTTGTTTAATTCTTTTGCGGTCTAGATTTCTTAAACATTTTTTGAAGTGAGAAGTCGTCCGTCAGTCCGTCAGTCGGACGTAATATGGTCGGTGTTTACATTAGCATCGCTAACACTCAGAGCTAACCTGTACTGGAGAGCATGTGTCTGAAGAAGCAGGAAATAAAAAGGAACTCACCTTGTGGTATAACCGGCAAGAGAGAAAGCCTTTGAGCTCCATACTGTTTCAGAAATAATCCTTGATAATCCATGATATGGCATTTCATCACGGCAGTATTTAGTTTAGACAGTAGCTGCCGGGTCCCGCATGAGCTCAGACCCCTCCTTTTTTATTTTGTATCAAGCTTTATACCCAAAATCAGCACTTTTGAAACAGGAAGTGAAATAGAGGGATATGAGGCATGGCTAGAATGGGTGATCTGTTTGGTATTTTGAGCAAAACACTTCATAGACATGTATTTTATATATCTGAGACCTATGCTATTGCTTAAAAATAGCATGATAGGTGACCTTTAATGAGTGACAGCCCCAGTTTGTTAAATATTGCAGGTGAGTGTTGTTTTGGTCGCTGTTGTAAAATTCCTCTTCACAGCAACACAAACAAAACATAATATAATAATGGTTCAGACAATTTTATGTAAAAAAGTTTTAATATAAGAATTTTGATACAAAACTTATATGCACATATTTGTTTTAATACTTACTGTATAGTGAAAATCAAAAGGTTACATCACTTCTCAGGTGTATAGTACCGTTCAAATATAATACAAAGATACGAGGTAAGACTGAAGCGCTCCTTACAAATGGAGGGTATCTGAGGTACACCACATGTACCAACTAATATGAACTAAGACACATTGTGAAGATTAAGACCAGTTTCTCAGACATTTCAACTCTGAACACAATTTCATTTTGATTTCAAAGATAAACAGCGATTTATTTCTGATATGGTCCGTGTATACTTCTCAATAAGCATAATATAATGAAATGTGGGACTTTGCTTGTGCATTAATATAACAGTCTTTTCTAAATGATTAAATCTGATTGTTACTTAATGTCCTGTTCACTACATCACAGCTCAGGCCCTACCTCGGGCAGTAAGCCGAAACGACTGAACACACAGTAATAATTGCCTTTACTGGTTGAGTGGTTTCTATGAGAACAAGCACACGCATGTTCAAGTGCAATAACTTAACAAATAATCATGAAATGCCAGGACTTTCTAATTATACTCACTCTGCAGATACCATCAGGCCTGAGCAACACATACACACTGTTGAGGTTTTCTTATAAGGAATTCAAATACACAGTTTACCTTTAAACATACATTTCCTATACACATTAACTCCTACTCGGGGTCAAGATTGGGATTTTGTCCTAGCATTCATTGGGGTAGAAGTTAAAATAGCCCCTGGAAAGACTTCAGTCAACATCTACAGGCAGCTTTGTTTACAATCCACGCTATGAAGCCTTTTTCCCGCCCGACTTTTAGACTCATCGTTGGAAAAGCTCAGGGGTTCCTCCTTTTGAACAATGTCCTAGTAAGCCACGAGAATGTGTGACAATGAACCAATGTTTACGATCATTACGGCTGTTCCGGATATTCGGTAGTGCGGGGGGGGAGGGGTGCATAGTAATCAGCAGTGAACCGCTTCAACACGTGTATTTCGGTTTTATTCACGGCATTCATTTTGTTATTCTACAGTATTGTTGTTTTATAGTTATTTGTTAATGTATATAACCCAATGTGTGCATTGTGTTTGTTACTTTCGTTGCAGTTGTATATGTCTTAAGTGTAATTTGGCTTGGCTTCCTATTTTTTATGGACATGCTTTTATTTTGAAGGAGAGTTAGCGCTGTTGACAGGAAGTTGTTGTTGCTATGGAAACAACGTGACGGAGATTAACGGAGAAAAGTCATATCTACATATAAAGATGGAGAAAGTAAACAATAAAGTGTATGGTTAAGTGTTAGCACCCCCCGAAGAGGCACAAGCTCTTACGTTGATATTGGAGATTTCAATAAATTCAATTCAATTAAAAAATAAATAAAAATACAAATAACGAAATTTAAACCCGAATAGTACTCCAACGAACGAATATTCGGGTACAGCCCTAACGATCATTACGAACATATTATAATTTTTTGTGTGTATTTCATATTGACGCTGCAAAAATGTGTGGCAGCAGAAGACAAATAAGAATAATAGAAAAGTACGCTGGAGTTTAGACTTCACTAGGCACATAGAATAAAGATCACTACAGCAATCGGATCATTACGGTTACAGTAGTAAAAGGCTTCCTATTTGATTACATGAATCCATAACAAAGCTTGCAAAGACACTGCTGTTGTGTAATTGGTCCAGCGTAGTGGAATGAATACCGTGCTCTTCACTAATCATTTCAAGTATTGAGTACCCATATGTAGAGAGATCAGACTTCATCAAATGCACCACAGCTCGCAGTCTATAAACGTGTTTAAACAAATGTACAGACCTGCTGTGTTCAGGCTAGTTTTTCCTCCATGTCATGCTCTTCTTCATCTCGGTCATCTTTAACGATCCCTTCGTCGATACTTTCCAGCCTTAGTCTCTGACCGTCCAGGTATCTGGGTCTCGGTGCTGCCCTGGTCGTAAACAGTCCCCCCGGTAAAGCCAGACCCTCGCCGAACATGGTGAGCTTAGCGTCGCTCTCTATGGCCATCGCCAAACATGATGCGAAGTTGTCGAGAGATTCGTGTTCCTGTGCGTGGATTTGAACTGAGGATGTGTTGTTGTTTTCAGCTGAGGAGAAAAATGCAGAAATCATTACACAAATGGTACGGTCAACACTGTTTTGTAACTTTCTGACCATAAAGTAACGTTTCAACCGGAAAAGCAATTCAGGCTCTCGCCCACTAACAGGATTTTTAACAATTAGTTTGTTTAATCTGTAAAACACTGTTTTGTAGGCTGGGATATCTGTGCAGCGCAACAATATCTCATTCAGCCTTTCAACGAACCTTGTGCTTCCTGCGATTTAAATATTGCACTAGGTCATATTGGAATTTCGATAACATTTCGCTAAATGTGGAAGAGCCAAAAACTGCTGTTCATTGACTGGCTACAAAAGAGCAATTCCTCAAAAAATGGCCAACATGGAAATTAGGGATGCTACGATCGCCAATTTTGGGGCCGATCGCCGGAATCGATCGCCGATCCGATCGAGTGGGCGGGGCCTATGGGGATCTTCTATTTAAAGTGATGTTTAAAACTCAGTTAATGGGGCTCATTCACTGGCGCTTCCACAAACAACAACCAACATAATTATTACATTCAAATGAAGTACATTATTCAAGTTTACATTCACTTTGGATAATAACACGGGAGAAATGAGCGGAAGCGCTCTCTTTTCCTCTCTCCCTCTCTCTCTCTCCAGACAGCCCGTCAGTATCCGTCTCATGCAGCTCACTGATCCAGTAATGAGTGACCCGACAGTGAAGAGTAAACATATTTATAACTAGTTTAGCTTGTTCCAGAGGTAGATAAAATAGCTAAGTGTGTTAGGTCTAACTCTTATGGCGCATTTCCATTGCAGGGCCTCGCTCGGCTTAGTACGGTATAGTTAGGCCTTGTTAGGACTGGCTCACTTTATGCTGCGTTTCCATTACAGTTTAGGAACTGGGGCAGTAACTATAGTAACGCAGTGTAGGCGGAGCCGTGACGTCATCTTCAATGCGAACCACAGAAAAACAACACAGCCGTTAGCAGTTAGCATTCAGAGCTCACAGCTCCTCATATCTGTTCAGAAACTAGACAAAAGTTAAACAAGTACAAACCACAGACTGCCTGTGTCATGGCGAATACAGTCGCTGCTTTATTTATGTCTGTATAGGCCGTTGTTGTGAGTGTGGACGGTCGGAGCATATACTGCGTTAGCTTAGCCAAGCTCCATTCAGAAAACACACATTTTAAAAGGTTTTTCGCCTGCCGTCTGTCTGCAGACTTGACAAAGCATTAATTCATGGTTTTTACTAACCGGTATCAGTATGTTGTTACTTCGGCATCATTTTGAAACGTGTATTACAATTAAATCACGGTCAAATATGTTCATTTTGTTGTAGTTGTAGCCCCCTTGCCAGCGATTCTCTCTGTCTAGTTAGCATACTCAGCCCGACTCAGCCTGGTTGTTGGCCCGCTAAGAACCTTGATTTTATGGGGCCAGAAAAACTGTGAAATAGTACCCGCTAGCCGGTGCACGCTTAAACCGCGCTGTAGTGGAAATGCGCCATAAGTGTGTGTTTTGCTCCGCTCACCGGTCCGTCACAGCGGGTGGAGCTGCAGGATTTCTGCTTCACACACGTTGCATCCCGCTATTTTATTGTCATTTTCGGACACCTTAAAATACAGCCAGACTGGTGAAGCCATTTTGGCGAGCTTGTTTTGACGCACAGAGAAAAGTGTCATGTATTTTACGTCATGCGATCGGCTCTCGCGATCGGCATCCCTAATGAAAACTACACGAGGTGAATTTTAATGAAGCTCAGCCCAAGTTCTTTCAGGAAGACTGGTTCCCACGCTCTCATTCACAATTCTCTCTTACTCACTCGCCCTTTTTCTCAATAAGCAAAGGCGCAACTTACCCCAGCTAAACCAATCGGTTGCGTCTCATCCCCACAGCCAATCACAGCACACCCGGCAAACGTTTAAATCTGCTCTTTCTCTCCCCTGCCAGCATCGTTCAGGAGAATTGATGCAACCCTCCTTCACCTCCAGTTTTTTCAGATCCAAGGCAGGCTAGCCCAGAAGAACTCTCATCACTCCGGATTTTTATTTCCCTTTAGTACTCACCACCACCAGTGTCTAGACCCCGGGGGGTTTCTCTTTCTAGTCGGCTTCTCCTCCCCCTTAATTCATCACAGTATGATGGGGTCTAATCTCCAAAACGCTATTGTGCACACGGCAATAAAGATGTTATCAACTACAAACTAAGTCTCTCCTGATTGAACTATAGCTCACTCGTTTAAATTTGATCAAGGTGTAAAGTTATGCATTATTTGGGTCATGCTTGCTTTGAGTGACAGATGTGTTAGACTGCTGTCTGCTAGCTGTCTGCTCTACTGCGGGACATGGTCTCGTCCTGTATTTTTTAAGTGTAAAAACCCTCAATAAGTATGAAGTAAACTCCATTCCCCAAAATTAGGGATACCTTTGGCCTGCTCCACTTGGTCTTCAAAAGTGACGGAGCTCCTCCTCTTCCCGGACGGATTGCAGGGGTTCTGTAGTTGGGAGGACCCGTCTGTGGAGAAGTTATCCAGCAGCATCACGTCTGTACCTGCAGGGAATCATCACGGACACAAACAAGGTGAACGGAGAGGGTTAATTAAAAGATCAATTGAAGGGAAAAGCTGCATAAGTATAGCGGCAAAAACTCCCTATGAGTTGTGCCGCTGAGAGGCTAAAACCTGCTCTTTGCTGTGTCGCGTTCCATGTAAGAGTCATTTATAGTCCATAGTGTTTAATAAAGACGACAAACAAACAATATACAACTCCAGACCACACGGTCAACAGAAAGTATCAGAGCAATTCACCCTCTTCCTACGTCGTCATGTCCCAAAACCGGCATCCAACAGGTGACCTAAATACCAATAAACCACACCCACGTGACCATTGCCGGAAGTGATAAACAATAAGAATTAAACGTGATGCAAACAGAAATGAAGATAATAATAGAAATAATAAGCAATGGCAAAACAAGCATTTTGGCTCCTACAATAAAAAAAGTCACACAAATGAGTTTGGTGATGTTTCTTTGTTTTTTCACATGACATTACTTGCCACACTTAGCTAAAAACATGAGCTGTGAAACAGGAATGTGAGGCGCCCTGTACCAAAGCTTTGGGAGGATGACGCAATAGAGTTTTGAAAATCATGTTTACGCGTGCAAGTCCCATAATAGCAGGAACACATTAGTCAGGGAGGATGCAACTTTTGATATTACAACCACTGGCTAGCTGTTATCCAAATATAAATGAATACAGCAATGATTGAGGACCAAACAGGATTAAGCATTAAATATAAGTCTAGACAACAGGATATTGTAGTTCAGAAATAATTAATTGGACACACAAAGAGAGTGTTTTTTTTCTGTGCGTTAAACTTACATGAGTCCTGAGTGTAACTGAAGCCGGTGTCCCCCGTGCTGCTCCCCGGGGCCAGGAGATGCCCTCCGCCCGCAAGCATGGCTGTCAGGTGGGGCGACATACCCAAATCTGAAAAGAACACAAGCAAGATTTCAAACAAGCTGTACAAAAGCATACAATACATTTATTCTAGCCCTCTTTGCACATAAATCCACCTGTCCACTATTGTGTATCTGTTTACAGTTCAAAGACAACCTGTTAATAGACATTGTGCCTACTTGAATGTACATTACAGGTCGTTTTTTTAAATCTTTGTTAAAGTGGACCTATCATGCTATATTTGAATAATATAGTGTAGGACCATACCTATATAAGGCATATTTATACTTTTTTTTTTTCAAAATACCAAACAGATCATGCATTTTAGCCATGCCTCATTTTGCTCAATTTGAAAAATGTTAGCTCTGTTTTTGCAAGGGTTGATTCTGTGAGAACAGCACCACCTACAGGCCTGGCATATGTACTACAGCGTCTCCAGCGCTTTCGAACAGCAATGCCGTGGCTGTCTCCTCCTGATTGGTGGAGTTGGCCCACCTGACGTCAGGACAGTGGTCAAATCTGGATCAGTTTTTATCAGATCCGTTGCAGCCCCTTTTTTAGAGATTTGGGTATGGAGGAAAATAGAGAGGGTTGTGTTTTCTGACACTTGGTGAGTTCCCTGGAACACCGGGGACACATATTCATGTATAAAAGACATACAAAAGTGCATTTTGCATGATAGGTCCCCTTTAAGCTGTGTTGTCCTTGATGTTTGCCTTACTAAACATTGTTATTTTGGTCAGTGATTTTGTCATAGATCAATAAAAATAAATTATTGCATGACAAACCCACCTGTTATTCTGTTGGAGATGCTAAAGAGGCGGGACGTTCTATGCCGCGTAGCGAATGACTCCCTGTAGTAGCGATCTCCAAAACACATCCCCAGCAGCTCCTTCCTCACCGTTTTATTCCACAGACCATAGATGAGCGGGTGGCATACTGCGCTGCAGAAAGAGAGCCACGCTACCAAAGTCTCCAGTCCCTGAGAAACACTCCCTTGTCCCCAAATAGCCTCCGTACACACCACCACAACATATGGCCCCCATGATATAAAGAAGGTGCCGATGACTACTAAGATGGTGACAAAGGCCTTGCACTGACTCCCTGCATACACCAGGCTCCGCCGGCTCCCATTAGAAGAAGTCGAGGTGCTTGAGTTTTTTCGTCCATTCTTCTGAGCTCCATTGGAGCCGTCGTTGGTCACAACAACCGTCCCACAGTGTACTTTCCTGGCTTTCATGCGTGCAACACGGAAGATTACACCGTAACAGGTCAGCATGATGAATAAGGGGGGAAGGATGCACCAGGTGACCCAGAAGGCCGTGTAGCTGGGCTCTCTGTGCCAAGAAGCAACACAGGTCCACTTGTAGCAGTCAAACTCGAAGGAGGACCACCCAAACAGAGGAGGCAGACAGCCCACCAGGGAGTGTAGCCACACGTATGCGATGACGACGACTGCCCGGTTTCCTGTGATCTTCATGGGGTAGATCATTGGGTAAAGCACAGCATAGTACCTGTTTGGATAAAAGAGGATCACCTTTAGGAGAGGAAACCAAAGGAGCCTTTTGGTACAAATAACACAGAGGCTGCTCAGAAATCGATGTGTGATTAATGGCGCATTTCCACTACAGCGCGAAGCGCGGTTTAAGCGTGCCATGCCGTGCCCGGCCCGTTTTTGGTTGCGTTTCCACTAGGCGTAGTTCCGGCTAGCGGGTACTTTTTCACAGTTTTCTGGCTCTCCAAAATCGAGGTTCTTTCCGGGCCAACAACCGGGCTGAGTATGCTTAACTAGTGAGAGAATCGCTGGCAACTACAACAAAATGAACATATTTTACCGTGATTTAATTGTAATACACGTTTCAAAATGCGTGTTTCCTGAATGGAGATTGGCTAAGCTAACGCAGTATATGCTCCGACCGTCCAAACTCACAACAACGGCCTACAGACATTAATAAACCAGCGACTGTATTCGCCATGACATAGACAGTCTGTGGTGTGTACTTGTTTAACTTTTGTCTAGTTTCTGAACAGATATGAGGAGCTGTGAGCTTGAGTGCTAACGGCTGATGTTGGTTTTGTGTTTCGCATTGAAGATGACGTCACGGCTCCGCCTACACTGCGTTACTATAGTTACTACCCCAGTTCCTAAACTGTAATGGAAACGCAGCATAAAGTGAGCCTGGCCTAACAAGGCCTAACGAGGCCTAGCCATACCGTACTAAGCCGAGCGAGGCCCTGCAGTGGAAAAGCGCCATTAGAAGCTAAAAGCTGCAACACCACCCCCGACCTCTGTAAAGTATAATCTTAATAGCTACATGCACAGCAGAAAAGGAGGTTTTGCAGGAGAACAAATACATGCACTGTTAACACAAATTCCTCAAGGTGACGGAGGTAATTAGGAAAGCAGTAGGAACAGTAAGGAGTGTGTGCTTAACAGTAGATCTTTACTAAGGATACCAGGAATAAGAATATAATTTAACCAGAGTGGTATTCAATTTCAATCCCAGACAACTGGAAGTGCATCTAACAGTAACCAACTATTGAAAATATATGCATGTCTTTCACTTTTGAGTGAAATGGGGGGAACAAGTAAAAAGAGGCCCATTGGACATCGTCAAATCTCTTCTTTAGGGGAACCAATGATTTAATATAACATAGCTCTGAACTAGCCAAATGTAACGTACACCATAATAATACTAGGCCTGATATACAGTATATTGTAAACTCTAGATCTAGTTAGATGTCCCTCGTATTGCTAAACCAACAGAACATTAAATGTAATATTACCTATGAATTTAATTTTCCAGCACTAACCTGTCAATGGCAATAGCTTCCAAGGGGGAGCATACTGGCCGAGCTAATGAGTAAGTAACAGCAGGGCAGTGAAGTTACACCACAACCACCCCAAACACCCACTCCTTCTTTGCCCGAGCTCACTGCCACGAATGGCAGCACCAGCATGGACAGCAACAGGTTGGACAGGGTCAGGCTGAACACAAACTTGTTGCTGGGTGTGAGCAGATAAGGCCTGCGATAGAGGGTCGCCACGATCATGAAGTTCCCCAGGCCGGCGAGGAGTGTGATGGTCACGATGGAGACGGACTCCAGGGCAGCCAGACCCTCCCTTGCCCCACCGAGGTACAGTTCCTACTGTTGTTCATGGTGACAGGCTGGGCCACCACACAGGTGAAGGGACGGTTGGAGACTGCAAGTGAAAGGACGTGGATAGGACGAAATCATCAAAAAGTATTGAAATTTGACTGTTAAAGAGCCATACCGTCCTACCGTTGGCTGCCAAAAATGTTTGTAACGTTAAGTACATTTCATCAATACAGTGCCAAACAGAATTGAGATACTTGTTCTAGTATTTTACTCAACTACATTTCAAAGGGAAACATTATCCTATACATTTTACTACACTACATTTATCTGACTGCTGCTGTTATAACTTTGCAGTTTTGTAAGGATTCAAGGATAATTTACAAAACAAATCATAGGTTTATAAGGAAAACAAAAAACACTTAATTAAATATAGCAATGCAACTAACTACGTTGGTCAAAATCCTAAGTAATACAACAATAGTGCTATATGCTATATTATTATTATTTATTTCATCATTTGGTAAATTGCTGAATAAACGTTAGGTACTATTGACACCTTTATTTACTTCTGGGTGGGTTTACTCTGAATTTAAATTCATTTCTATCCTTTTTTTTCTGAATATGTGTTAGAGGTTAACTAGGCTAACTAGTAAGTGTCAATCAATATAACATTAGCTCAGCAAAAGGGCAATTTCTAACAATTAAATAAATAATATAGCAATGACAGGAGAAAATAACGTTTGTAACTGTTAACATTTCAATGCAGGACGAAAGATGTGTGGTTTTACATAGTTGTTGCTATTTTAAATAAATGAAGGATCTGGATAGCAGTACTGCTCCTAGTTTGAAATGGTATCATCCTCCGGGACGATAAGCACAGGATGAAAACGTGAACGTCCTCACCCATTATTTACAAGCTGAAACTAAAATCAAACGCCTGGAGGCTAAAAAAAAGAATCTACGTTATTAAACCGCCTGTGAATTGGTTTCAGTTATTGCTTAGCAACGTACCGCAAATGGAAGTGCGTTTGAATTCGAACCAACGGTCAGATTTAGTTTCCACCGTTAGTTATTTAATAGTGTTTTCAGCATAAAGGCAAATGTGTTAACATCTCTCACCATGGCGTTAACTTTTTAGAGAGTTAAAAGTAAGATAAAAATGAAGTTTAACCTACAAGTTAGCAACAGTTGAGGTTACTGTATAGCTCAATGTTGCTGACAAATGTGGACTTTGTAAAAGTGTAAAGAGTCAGTAGTAACGCCAATAGCTAAAACAACCACCGTTAGTTAGCCTAGGTTAGCTGAAACTTTCTCCCATTGTCCCCCCGAAACACAGCGCTCTTTACCTGCTCTGGTTTGGCGCTGTTGGTCCACATTGTGTCCTACTCAAAGACAAACCGTCCATCCTACTGGTCCAATTTCAAAGTATAACTCAGTAATAGCGTGCTGAGTGTGAATAATGTCCGAAAAGCCCCCTCGACATTGTGAAGTTTGATAACGTTTGTCCTCAATCACAGACGGCCAGCTGCAGCAATGGCGTCCTCCTCCTCCTCAGACTCCCCTCTCAGACTCCTTCACTGTGTGGGTGGTCCACACAGAATGTTCTTGTTTTCATATTATAGCGAAGTACTCAGATCTTGTACTTAGGTAAAGTAGAAGTACCAGAGTGTAGGAATACTCTGTTACAAGTAAGTACAAGAAGAAAATTATTAGCATCAAAATATACTTAAAGTACAAAGTAAAAGTACTCATGCAGTTCGGCCAATTTCATAATATTATATTGTATGTTTCGATTATAAATATTGATGCATTAAAGTGTCATCAAAGCTGACTGAAATTAATGTCATCATTAATCCAAATCGGCAAAGTAACTAAAGCCTTTAGTAAAGGTAATAAACACGTAGCCTATAGTAAAACAACACGATTTACCTCTGAAATGTAGTGGGGTGGAAGTAAAAAGTAGCAAATCATCTAAATACCCAAGTTAAGTACAAGTACCTCAACATTTGTACTTAAGTACAGTACCTAAGTTAATGGCTAATTACTTTACAACACTGTCAACGTGTGTTACTCGTTGCCCTTTTGCATAAGTTATGCTGATTTTTAATAATCATGACACTGCGTTGAAAACCTAAAAGTAGTTTTATCCTGTTCCGATCATACATGTACTGTAGGCATTGTAGTCATGTTAACAAAAATCTATCAACGCATTTGTATTTATTAATGACAGGCTGCTGGTGTTTATGAATGAGCTGGCCGGACCACCTACGTGGATCAAAGACTCGTGCACATCAACAACACGTCAGCACGTCGACTTACGTTATCCAATCAGAGAGCAGAGTCGTTACAGACTGCTTCCATTGGACGGCGCGCTCTGTCTGTCTGTCTTTACAACCTTTACAGGAGGTAGACAAAATAATATACACGTGGAAATAAACATAAATATGCCAAATAGTTCGTTAAAGGTGGTCTTCAGCACTTTCTTAGAAATATGCTGGAAAATATAACAGTCAAATAGTGTTAATAGCCCTGTAATACCAACAAATAACGTGCCAGTAAATTGTATGTTTCATGGTTTAAAATTAATTTGATGTGTGCACACTTACTTGGTCATTCACTAACAAGCCAGAGCATTTGAATATGGAACCATTGTAGTTTAGCATAGAATTATCTTTCTGTTGATCTCAATAATGAAAAATAAAAACTACAACTTGATTATTTAGTATCATTTGTACTTTGTCAACGACTCTTTAGGGACAATACACATAACTAAAAATTGGCATTTTAAAAGGGAAGCGCATGATGTGAAAGGCACATTTGTATACATTCAGAAAAATAATATTTAACCAAGGGCGAGGGGCATTAACCTTAACACAATGTTCACTAAGGGAATTTATGATACCTGTGCTTTTGTCCATTTTAAACACTGAATGGTAATATATGAATGACTTTTAAAACCAAATACACAAGCTAGTTTCAATTGTTTACAAATAGGTTTTATTTTTAACCCATTAAAAACTGTGTGGTATACTTAATAGGCTAAAATTAAACAAAAGCAGTGGTGTGGTCAATGGTAGCGTGGCATTATACATTTATTTGGTTCAGGCACACTATGTGCATTTCCTCAAAAATAACAAAACAACACTTAGGGTTTATAGCTGCTACATAAAGCATGTGTGGAGACTGCGAGGGAATGTGTTTGGTCACGTTCAGGCTGATTGCCATCATGTGTGAAATTACACCGTATGACCTGACGTTAAAACTTTTGCATGGGGATCTGTGGAGTGTAGTCGGTCAGAAGAGAAACCATCAGACCCTGAAAGAGAAGACAGTTGTGACGATATATATAATAGACAGATAATCAAACTTGAGACACAGACTATACCGACAGGATCAAATGAAACCCATAGTTATAGTAATAATAATAATAATCAGGTTTCTCACCATAATTGTCCACTTTCTATTCTCTGCCTCGGGGAAGACGAGGGAGCGGGATGAGTAGAATACTTCATCATCCACCTCCTCCATTTTCCGGGGGAGACAGTGCAGGAAGGTCCAGTCTGGTTTGGCCACACTTCCTGTCTGTAGAGGTCCAGTGCAAACATAGAGTAAAGACACATTTCACCTTTTTGCTTCTATGCAAATATTTACTTGCCAGACACAAATTCAGTCACTCTTATTGACTAAAATATGACTGTAATCGTTTTCAGAAAATTATACCATCAATAATATAATCAGGTTTTACAGGCATTGTTATATCATACTATATTTAGACTTAGGGCACATGGGAATACTGGGTCTTACTCCTATGAGGAATTGGAAATTGCTCTATTTACTTGCACTATATTTTTCTGTTTATCTGTGTTATTGTGTTGCACTGTTGGAGAAGCCTGTGACCTAAGATTTTCATCGGCATAACTACACTGTAGCTATGTTCGTATGACAAAATAAAGAACCTTGAACCTCCTTTGCAAAGTAGTACATATTATTATTGACCAACATAATTACTGTAATCACAACTATGTAAGCATGTCCTGTGCACACATTTTAGTCAAAGCTTGCTTGTTGATTGATAAGCCAGATGAAGTATGTATTGAGGAGTTTACCACACAGACAATTTGCTAAATGCTTTGTGTACAGTCAGTAGCATGTTTTTTTACGTTAGGTAGTGCTTACAGCTGTCAAAAGGGAGCAATTTTAGAACAGGCACAGATATAAAAATGGCCAAATACAAACCTGCTCGCATGTTGTCGGTGACATGTTTTCCTCTTTAGGCTGAAAAGAGGGCGTCAAAAAGTTGCATCTTAATATTAATATGACTATATCCTTCACCTGCATTGTAATCTGGTAACCCTTAAAGTCTTTGAGCCTCTTTTTCTTCTCCTCCTCCTGTCCCATGCTGACCCAGGTGTCGGTGACCAACACATTACTGCCGTGGGCGGCCTCCATCGGGTCAGAGGTCAGGACCAGCTGGGTCCCATGCTGAGACAACGGCAAGTAATGTAAGTCATTTTACAAAAGGTCTGTTAATAATAATGATGACAATTAAAGTTGGAAACCTCACCTCTTTGGAGAGCCTTTGTGCCTCTTGAATAACACTCCTCTCTGGCTCATACCCCTGGGGATAAATATACAGTTTTAGCTTTAGGGGTGGTTGGGCCGTTTTAGCAAAAATATGTTTTTTGACGTACATCACCAAGAAGCTTTACATTTTGATTTCCTGTTCACTGCTGATTTCATTTCGATGTCAGTTTATGATAATGGCCCTGCTCGCAAAAGGCAAGTGGGGAGATTCTATACTCGCTAACTACAAAAACAAGAATCTACTACAGATAACAGGAAGTGCAGTACAATTAGAGGTAAACTGTACATGAGAAAATAAAACAATGCAAACCTTTGGTGTAGCAATTTTAAGATGAACTCCTAATTTAGGTGCAGTCATCATGAAAGAGTGGAGCACGTTGTTCCCATCGCCAATCCAGCTCAGTGTTAGTCCACTAAGGGACCCATAGTGCTCCTGGAAGAGAATTAGTGGTATTTAGAAATCACCATGTCATTATCATTTACTGGAAGAAAACGCTAACTTTTCAAATGACTCAAAAAGGAAAGCAGAAATAAAAATATGAATGTATCTTTCGTAAAACAAGTACAATGTCAATTGAGGATCTTTCAATAAACCCCCAGGGTCTTTATACTATTTGGCCTCCTTCTGGTAAGGTTTGGTATGGCATGGTTCTGTTTAATGGGGCCCTATTAGGCTTTTCCCTTTCCTGTAGTATGTTATACAGGTTTTTATGCATGTAAATGGTCTGCAAATGCAAAAAGCTTAACGTTCCCTCCAGAGGGAGTTTCTCTCCCTAAATGCAGTATGTGTAGGAGTTGCAGTGCCTGTAAAGTGAGGAAGTCAGCCAGAATCTGGATTGGGTGGTAGAGGTCAGACAGGCCGTTAATGATGGGGATGGACCCCTCCTTATCCAGCTCCTCCAGTGTGGAATGGCTGTACACTCGTGCCAAGACAATATCACAGAGTCCTGAGAGAACCCTGTGGAAAGAGTTTAGGAATCACAAAGGCATGCATGTACCCAGCGTGCTGTGATTAGAGAGCCACAAACACTCCTATTTCGCTACAGTAATGAGCCACAGTAGTGGAAACATAACATGACTGTAACCACCTTGAAGCCCCACAAGCATTCAAATATGTGAAGTTACACTGAAACACGCAATGCTATTTAGGATTTCTCTTATACAAAGATCAAAATGTAGTGTGCATAAACCATATATATACATACCAAACATATGTGTTACAAGTTGTAGACTGATTAATGCCGTTCTGAGAAAATAGGCTTCGACCAATGCCTGTGCACACAAGGCTGATTCATTTTTGAATACAGTATTTCACTGAGCCAACACCAGAAGGGCCACTACACTAACATTGTTTATTTACTTTTTATCATGTACGTTTACAGTTTTTTTGTGTATCTCAGAAACAAAGAGATGCCGCTTTCTGTGGATAAATGCTGTTGTTAAGAGCACAAAATAATAATAAAAAATTGGTCAGCATTATTGATATTCTGAAACTGTTATATTTCATCAGATAACGACAATATGCATAGGTTATCAGCTATCATGCGCTCTAAATATCGACATTGGCCATTTAAAACCCATATTGGTCGACCACTATACAACCCACATCAAACCACTGACTGATATTACTTTCATTTTATTTCCAGAAAAGCAAACATAGATGTAAGACTTACCTAGCTGTGTCGGTGCCACTCTCATTCACTCCCAGGTGGATGTCCTGAGAGGTGAGGAAACAGGGGTGCCCACCCAGCAAAGCAAAACCTGTAATGATATTAAGACAACATCAATATCCTTAATGGTCAACGGAATAGACAAGACTATAATAAGTATGAACAATTCCCCAACATTTGCCATGTTTCATTACAACATTGACATTTTCAGAACAAATTACAAATCAAACAATTTGTGTCAAAATGAAGGTTTTTTTAAACATATGCACACAAATTTGGTTTATTTAATGATTTCAACTCCAGTTTGAGGGTGGGGCTAGTAGTGGGTGGTGGTTATTTGACACAAGACCGTATGTTCGGTTCCTATATTAATTTCCATGTCTGCTGTGCACGCTAAAAATGTTCTGTGTTTATTTAGTTGTCTTGCTTATAACACAATAAAAGTATACTTGAGAAAAGAGTGCAACCTCATGGGTTGAATGGCAGCAGACAAGGGTTGAAATAGTTGCAGACTGTTTTGTTCCTGGGATGCACTGAAAATAACTTTTCAGCAGTTCTTTTGTGTCCATACACAAGTGACTTACACCGTTCAACGCACGGATGACTGGTCTCAGCCCTGCTCAGTGTCAGAAGTTACATTTCTGTTAGATTGTTCTCAATAATTCTATGTAATGTTTGAGTGTTATAGGTTATGTTGATCGTTATAGTATGTAATATTATATCCACCATTATCAATATTTGTCTCGCATGTACCATATATTTAAGTTGATGTATCACTATCATGTTTGTCATTAACCATTTTCCTTTAACCTTTCATTCAAAATAAAGGAAAAATCCCAATTGTAGATGTTAATGTATCTTTCAGGTTAGAAGTGCACTGTAAATTGAGGCCCTTTCAATAAACCAGATCCTTGTTTTCAGTAAAAAACCAAAACATTTTCTGGTGTTAATGTAACACTTGAAAACTGCTCAGTGTCTTTATACCACCTTTTGTTTGTGATATGTAAAAACAGGACACCTGTTTCTGTGGACATTCTCGTTCTGGTGCTTCTCTTTTCAAATATCATGGCAATCGACTTTCCTTGCAGGAGAGGAAGATACTGAAATAGAAATGACAGAAACCTTCCTTAAAACGAAGCATCCTGAGGCTGCAGTAAAACTGAAGACACTCAACAAATAGACACTGCAGTTTACATTATAGACTGATGTTAGCTACCTGTTTTTCATGCTTGATCCGATGTTTTAGATCCCCTGAAACCCACAGCAGCCTCCTGATTTCATCTGAGCTGAAGTCTTTCAGAGTCAGGCAGCTGCGACCTTTTAAATTCACTGAACCAAGGGATGCAGCTCCAATGCTGAGAACGTACCACAACGAGGAAATAACGCATGCATTATCATTTTTGCTAACAACTCTCGCTTTGCTGACAAAGTTTTGCTGCTATGCTTTTTTTTTTTAAATAAAGATATCCGGAGCGTCTTACCTAAACCCTCGTGTAGAACAGTCTTGGAGAGTTTTCAAATATTTAAAAGCGACGGTGTTCACGGAGAACAGTTTAGCAGACATTGCAACTCAAGGAAAACACAGGGAAAGCGTAATGCTATGGGAGTATTTCATCAGATTTCGCCACACACCGCCTGTCCCCAGATGGCATGCAGCGTGACGTCACCGCAAGACCAGGAAAGGAGGCGTGGTTTCCTTCATTATTTAAAACATTTTTGATGTTTAAAATGTCCCGTGTTACATCATGTTTGCCCCAAAATGTCCCAATTCTAACGTGGCACTGCTAGCCGTGATACCAGAAGGCATTGAGGGAACAGCTAAGATATACATTTGACAAATATTGATTACAGCAGCAATTACATTTATCACAATTAGGTGGTTAAACCCGGTTAAACCTGACACCCGACATACAATTTGTGGATTGAAAAGGTGTGGGAAATCTATCAGATGTCACTGACACACTGACAGACTCTCTGAGTGTTTAGATAGTTAACTTTAGTCTAAGTTATCTCAGTGGGTCTCAAACGGTTTGGTCACCATTTATGTAAACAAGTATTTCCGAGGAACACCTTTATGATCATTATGGTTATACAAAAATAAGAGAATAAATGAAAAACAGGTATGAAATACTATAGGACAGTAAAACAATAATACAGTTTAAAAGGGGAGTGATTTATAAAATATGCATAAAGAAAAAGTAAATCTGTTTACAGTTCTGTTTCATATGGATGTTGAGAGATGTATCCTAGATCTCTTCATTTTGAAGTGCACCAGATTGATGTATTTAACTTCAATGTTAAAAAAAAAAACTTCCTGGGGGAGCATGCCCCCGGACCCTAGAGGATGTTAGGTCCACCCCCCAAATAAAACATGTTCAGATCGATAGGATACTAAATACATTTGCACACTTTTTATATGGTGGCCTATGTCCATATGTTTCTGTTTTGGTGGTCGTGACTCGTGCCACAACCGTGCATGTATGCACAAGTCATAGGTGCAGGGCTGTCCCTGGCCAACTTGGGGCCCCAAGCGATATTGTGAGATGAGGCCCTCCCCAACCGACAGGAGTGAAAAAAATTGTTTTGGAAACAAAGTACTTTGCAAATATAATTCCTGTTTATTATTATTATTACATTACATTACATGTTACTTGTTAGACGCTTTTATCCAAAGCGACTTACATACTCAATACTGTGGGCAATCCCCACAGGAGCAATTTGGGGTGAAGTGTCTTGCCCAGGGACACAACGACATGCTGACTGCAGTGGGGTTTGAACCTGTGCTCCCCTGATCCGAACACTAAGGCTCTATCCACTGCGCCACACGCCTCCCATTATCAACACAGTTACTTTTTTATACAGAGAGGTAAATGGCAAATGTGCATGTATGTCGTTCAGTATGCGTTTACAGGTGAATACGTCTGCATTTCCTGCCAAATACTAGCCTCAAAAAGATTAAAATATAATTAATGCAAATAAACTACTTCTACTAATAATAATAATCATAATCAATTCAATAATTTAAACACTATATTATTTTATTATAATATAGTTGTAATATAGTCAAGACAAAACATGCATATTACATGCTCAAAAACCGATATTTATTAAATCTGTGGGGGTGCGCGGAGAACTGCGCTGAGAACTGCGCTGAGAACTGCGCACAAGCCGAGCACATAAGCCGAGGCCCCCTGCGCAGATGCACCCTGAGTCATTTTGTTTAAGTACAGTGAGCCTTTCTAAAATATACAGTAAAGAGACAAACCCCCCAGCATTATAGGATAGCCTATATACTATGACTTTGAGCCAAATACTTGTTTTTGGGCTGTATAAATAAATTGACTTGAAACAGTTGCTGATTTAGAGTACTGCACCTTTTTTATTCCAATTCAAGCACTGCGCTGTACGCAATATAGGCATAGTTCTGTTAGTATAAGATAATAAGATGTACTTTGTTCATCCAAAATCGGGAAATTGTGTTGTTGTGAAATTTCAAAAAACAATTATTTTTAATTTCTAACTTTTTTTTTCTTTCTTTTTTCTCCCCAATTTTCGGCGCCCCGATGCTATACTGCCTATATGCCAAGGGCCGGCCCTGGTGAGAGTGATTTATTTTCAGCCAATCCTGGAGCAGCACACATTTCCACAGCCACCTCCAGGGAAAACGCACCTTTGCGTGATTGGCGTAATGAAGCTGATTTAATGCAGGTGTGCGGCTTTCCCAATCCAGCATTGGGCCTTGCCTGTTGTCGGAGAGGATCAGACTGGACCGGAGCTCTACCATGGCGATCGCACAGATGATTTTGGTTTGTGTCTGTTTAACACTAGCCCAGATCAACAACGCAGCAAGCCACAGGTACGAACACAGAGGATTGGCCGGCCAGGACGAGCTTTCTGACGGCAACGAGCAGCACTTTGAGGCGGCTGCACCAGACGGGACCGAACGAAGCTTCCACGCGCCGGCTTGGCATTTTCTTGAAGGTAAAAACCTGCTCTTTACGGGTTTTAGGCCCATGCAACCTAAATCAGCTGCTTGACCTAAACAAGCCTGAAGCACAATATGGCGCTCGATTGTTGGTAGCCTACATCATAGCCGTGGGAACATGTTTCAAATGGGGGGTGCTGTGGGGATGACACCAGGGCCGGTTCTGACCAATTTGCTGCTCTCTACAAGAGACCAATACACTACAAAAAGAGAAACGTATTGACATGGTGGACAGTTTATATAAAAAGGCTTCAAATGTATTTAGTATTGTATGAACATGTTTTTAATTGGGGGGGGTGGACGTCACATCTTCTATGGGGGTCCGGGGGTATGCCCCCCTGGAAAGAAATGTTGTAACATTTTAAAGTAAAATGCTTCAATCTGGTGCACTTCGACCGCCCAATTACTAGAGACCTGATATAGGGGGTACAACTTTAAACACCCATATGAAAAAGATCGGTTTGCATTGTATTAATCAAATAAGTATGTGAACATAACCAATAACCTACCATAGCCAATAACAAATGAATGTAACTTATTTTATTTTTGTTGTTAATTTATATCTTATTTGACCAGTTAACATTTATTTATTTATGCATATTTTTTAATCTCTTCAGTTTTAAATTATATGTTTGGTTTACTGTCCTATATACATTTGAATGATTTCAAACCTGTTTTTTTTTTGTATCCTAATAATTATAAAGGTGTGCCTTGGAAATATTTGTTTACATAAATTGTGATCAAACCGTTTGAGACCCACTGAGAACTTAGACTAAAATGAACTATCTAAACACTCAGAGTCCTTTACCTCACTGAGCCTCTCGGAGAGAACTCTCCCTCCACATTATTGTAGAAACAGCTTCTTATATCCGTTAGCGCAGCAAAAGCTAACAACAATCCCGCCGGTACTGGTGCTCTCACACTCTCACTCGCACTTTGGCTGAGCAGCGGGCGCCTGATAAGCCAACATCCCCCACTTTCATCACTTACAGCGCCCATCGTACACGGCAAATGGAAAATGTAACCGGGGTGAAAAGGGTGTTCTCTTTACTTAATTATGAATGTTGTTACATCAAGGCTGAAAATTCATTTTTTTGGTATTATATTATACCCCTACTTCCCACGGCCATGCCTACATGTGTGCAGTGCTTTACTTGTGTTAAAACATTTTTAAGTTTTATATTGGCCTAGAGAGCAACAAACCCCACATAAAAGCTTTAGTTTCCGTGATACCCCTACCCGAGGAATAACTAAGCACAAGCATGTTTTTGGATTACTTTATACGACTCTAGATTATGAAATGGATGGTTGACCATTGTTTTTGGTTGATGATTGGAACCTTTCCGTAACCGAAGAATAGTGCGAATAGGCTCCTCTAAAGGTGATCCATGTCATTTCCTTGAGGGTAATGACCCGTAAAAAATAGGAACGATGATTGTTGTAGCAAAATAGGCTACAAAACGTCTGACCATATTTACAGCAATCTAATGTCTCTTAATCTGCTAATCTGTTTTTTTTTTAATCAAAGATTGAACAGGTAGCTCTTTTACATGTACTGTGTCTTTTTCTTTTATTGTTTGTTTATAAAATAAAAAATCCTTTGACATCATACATTTAAATCCAGTCGTTTACATTCAAGCATATTAAACAGTTTTACAAGGGCAGGGTAATTTGATTTAACATTTTTGTTCGTTGGACAATTGGGGTTAGATGGTAGAACACTGCAAATGATTCCCTTTCATTTAATAGAATTATCATGCTTCGATGCCCCTAAAAATATTTGACCTGTCAGCATATTTGGCCTGTCATTTTAAACATATTAATAGGTTGACCAGTATTTGATGTAAAGGGTAATTTTAGAAAAGAATAATGGCTTCATGCTAAAATGACCAAAAATGCATTTCATGTTTCCATCATGACTCTTTGGATACACTTTGTTCACTTGAAACTTCCAAGTAGTGTTTGGCTACTCGGCCATCTCTAACCTGGACATGGCCTACTGTTGTATGGTATGTACAGTAAGGGAAAAAGTCCAAAGTGAACTTTGAGGGTGCAAATGGGCAGATTCTGTTAACTTTGAACAAAGCCCGGGCAACTGTGACTATTGATCTTATTGAAATATATGCAAGAAAAGGAATAACTTAATTTCAAACTTAAATTTTTTAACCTCTGTAATGACTTTCCATTTAAAAAATATGTGTTGTCTTTGCAGGAAGTGGAAAAAGTCCAGAGACCTCAGATTTCAACCAGCCACAGTATCGTTGCATTAATGGAACACTTTTCCTGCGCTTTTCACTCATCAGATACACAAATCTGCATCTGGAAGGTACATTGGATTCACCAATACAATATTTTGTGCCAATGCCAGTTTTTATCAAAAGCCTAATTATGAACATTCTTTTTCTTAATTTTTGATGTTAGATGGTGCAGGGTTGTTGTTGCGGCCCGACAGGTGTCACGGTTCCATTAATAGGTGGTGGTTGCTGGGGAAGCTTCCCTACACTGGCTGTTACATAGCATCACAGGTAAAATGTTATTTATTTTTTAAATGTATTGTTTTTGTTGCCAAGTAGACTTAATTGTCTCTAAATCAATAAGTCCTTGCATTTATTATGGTCGTGTTATTCCTTTCACTTAACCAGCATCTGCAAGAGTGAGCAGTATGTTGTTGGTTAAAG